TGTTTACCATCCGATCGGCATCAAACTCATTTTCAAAAATCTTTGAGAAAATGTATTTAAAACGCCCACGGGTGTAACCTCTAGATCAATTTGGCATCTAAATCTGACAACTTAATTTTTAGTCAAAATTCATGTGAAAATGGTCCCTCAAATATCCTATATAGACATAGGGTAAAATTTCCCACACCATAACTCGGTCAAATCTCATCCGATTTGCACGAAATATGCCTCTAATTTCATGGTTTGGCTCTTAGATCAATTTGGCATCTAAATCTGGCAGCATTATTTTTAGTCAAAATTCATGTGAAAATGGTACCCTCAAATATCCTGTATGGACATAGGTCGAAATTTCCCACCCCCATAGCTCGGTCAAAAAGCAACCGATTTTCATAAGGAGTGGCATTTTGTTCATGTTTTGTCCTCTAGATCAATTCTGCATCTAAATCTTGCAATATTATTTTTAGTCAAAATTCATGTGAAAATGGTACCCTCAAATATCCTATATAGACATAGGTCTAAACTTCCCACCCCCATAACTCGGTCAAAAAGCAACCGATTTTCATAAGGAGTGGCATTTTGTTCATGTTTTGTCCTCTAGATCAATTCTGCATCTAAATCTTGCAATATTATTTTTAGTCAAATTTCATGTGAAAATTGTACCTTTAAATATCCTATATAGGCATAGGTCGAAACTTCCCACCCTCATAACTCGGTAAAAAATCAACCGATTTTCATAAGGAGTGGCTTTTTGTTCATGTTTTGTCCTATAGATCAATTCTGCATCTAAATCTTGCAATATTATTTTTAGTCAAATTTCATGTGAAAATGGTACCCTTAAATATCCTATATAGGCATAGGTCGAAACTTCCCACCCTCATAACTCGGTCAAAAAGCAACCGATTTTCATAATGAGTGGCTTTTTGTTCATGTTTTGTCCTATAGATCAATTCTGCATCTAAATCTTGCAATATTATATTTAGTCAAATTTCATGTGAAAATGGTACCCTTAAATATCCACCCCCATAACTCGGTCAAAAAGCAACCGATTTTCATAATGAGTGGCTTTTTGTTCATGTTTTGACCTCTAGATCAATTCTGCATCTAAATCTTGCAATATTATATTTAGTCAAGTTTCATGTGAAAATGGTACCCTTAAATATCCTATATAGGCATAGGTCTAAACTTCCCACCCCCATAACTCGGACAAAAATCAAGCGATTTTCATAAGGAGGGCTTTTTGTTCATGGCTTCAAACTTCATGTGAAAATGGTACCCTGAAATATCCTATATAGACATAGGTCGCAACTTCCCACCCCCATAGCTCGGTCAAAAAGCAACCGATTTTCATAAGGAGTGGCTTTTATTCATGGCTTGGCCTGTAAAACAATTCGGCATCCAAATCTGGCAACATTATTTTTAGTCAAATTTCATGTGAAAATGGTACCCTCAAATATCCTATATAGACATAGGTCGCAACTTCCCACCCCCATAGCTCGGTCAAAAATCAACCGATTTTCATAAGGAGTGGCGTTTTGTTCATGTTTTGACCTCTAGATCAATTGTGCATTTAAATCTGGCAACATTATTTTTAGTCAAATTTCATGTGAAAATGGTACCTATAGACATATGTAGGTCTAAACTTCCCCCACCCCCATAGCTCGGTCAAAAAGCAACCGATTTTCATAAGGAGTGGCTTTTATTCATGGCTTGGCCTGTAAAACAATTCGGCATCCAAATCTGGCAACATTATTTTTAGTCAAATTTCATGTGAAAATGGTACCCTCAAATATCCTATATAGACATAGGTCTAAACTTCCCACCCCCATAACTCGGTCAAAAATCAATCGATTTTCATAAGGAGTGGCTTTTTGTTCATGGCTTGGCCTGTAAAACAATTCGGCATCCAAATCTGGCAACATTGTTTTTAGTCAAATTTTATGTGAAAATGGTACCCTTAAATATCCTATATAGGCATACATAGGTCTAAACTTCCCACCCCCATAGCTCGGTCAAAAATCAAACGAATTCCATAAGGAGTGCTTTTTTGTTCATGGCTTGGCCTGTAAAACAATTCGGCATCCAAATCTGGCAACATTATTTTTGGTCAAACTTCATGTGAAAATGGTACCCTCAAATATCCTATATAGACATAGGTCTAAACTTCCCACCCCCATAGCTCGGTCAAAAATCAAACGAATTCCATAAGGAGTGCTTTTTTGTTCATGGCTTGGCCTGTAAAACAATTCGGCATCCAAATCTGGCAACATTATTTTTAGTCAAATTTCATGTGAAAATGGTCCCCTCAAATATCCTATGTAGACATAGGTCTAAACTTACCACCCCCATAACTCGGTCAAAAATCAAGCGATTTTAATAAAGAGTGGCTTTTTGTCCATGACTTGGCCTGTAAAACAATTCGGCATCCAAATCTGGCAACATTATTTTTAGTCAAATTTCATGTGAAAATGGTACCCTTAAATATCCTATACAGACATAGGACACAATATTCCACGGTCATAGCTCGGTCAAATCTCTGTTGATTTGCACGAGATTTGCCGCTTTGTTCATGGTTTTGCCTCCAGATCAATTTGGCATCTAAATCTGACATTATTTTTAGGCAAAATTCAAGTGAAAATCAAACCCTCAAATATCTTATATAATCTCATCCGATTTTCACGGTAAACACAACAATACGAAAATAACAACACAATTGGCGGATCGCCAGAATGTGACTTTAGTTTTATATTTAAAATGTAATTAGTTTCTGATTCGGCATTCGGTAGTACCTATTTACCCTCCAAGGCGGATCAAGTGCAAGTGCAGCGATCTCTTTAATCCAGACGACAACAGCACTAAGCCAAGCACCCACTCTGGGCTGAGCGTACCCAGCACTAAACCAAGCACCCATTCTAGGATAAGCCTACCCAGCTGTGCCCTACTGACGACAGGGGCGAGCAGTGATTAGTCACTTTGGCCCGTCACCTATCTGTATAGCGAGGGGCCGCCAAATGCCACCGAGTTTTGTAATTTCGTTGAGAGCTTATTGAATAGTTTCCCATTAATCAGATTTTCCGATAGGTTCTTAGTCCCGCTCTTGCCCCCAGGCCCCGCCCCTTCGACCAACTTAGTTCTAACAATGACGAAAAAAGAAGCATTCTCACCGGTTTGTCTGCCACACACGTAGTTTGAATTTAAGCGTACGTTATATATGCGTATTAATAATAAACACTTGTTAACTGCGGAGCAATTGAAATCCGATCAATATTCTAAACTGGTTTTTATAATTCCTATTCACTTTATAATTTTAATTTTCACCAATTTCTTCTTCTTCTACTTCTTTTTCGCGGCTTAACTAATGACGGCAATAAATTATCGATAGGTCATACAGGCCACGCTTCGCTATCGAACGTTTTACATTTTTGATATTTTTAGTATTTTTCAAGCTGTTATATACGTTCACAATAGCATTCAAGCAGCTGTAAATCAATTGTGCAATGGCCGCGCGGCAAGATTTCATTTTTTTAAATATTAAATGAGTCGCTTAAAAGCATCCCTTTGGCTTTGCTTTCGCTGCTTCATACATTCATTATACCTACATAGAAACAATAAAATCTAACAGCTGAAATAAACTAGCATTTATATTTTTATTTAACTCTGCATTGTTTACTTTTATTGATGAACACAATTCTTTGGGAAAGAAAACAAATCCAAAACAACTAAAATACAATTTACTTAAAATTCAAGAAAGCCTAGGATTTAAACCTTTTTTCCATTAATGCTCGCCAGCTGTTTCCGATTGAGCTGATCGAAGAATAGCAAACCTGCTGCTCGCTCCACCGTCTCGGGCGGCACTTGGAACACCTGCAGCGGGGTATCGTTGCTAATCACCCGGTTGGGCATCACATATGCCTCCATGTGCAGCCTCTGGTCCGCCGCCTCACCTACAATCACCTTGTAAAAGTGCGTGGGCACAGCCACCGTATTGGCACCGATTACCTCGTATTTGATATATGTCTTGCCGTCGTCCTCCTTGTGTGGCAGGTATAGCGGGCCCGTGCAGACGTAGACATTGCTGTAGATGCTCGTCAGTTTACGTACGTGAATCTCAAGATTGTTCCAGGCATCACGATTGAAGCCCTGGCCCACCTGTGGCGCCATGTTGGACAGCAGAAAGGTGTCGTCGCAGTGCTTCTGATGCAGTCGATGGTTGGCCGCTGCCGCCATGTGGCCACGATCGTAGCCGGAGCGCCGGTAGTCGGTGTTTTGCGCGCGAAAAAAGGGATGGATGCTCTCGTCCGGCCTAAAGTCACATTTGGCGCGGTCCACTTGGTCGTTCTTGGCCACCGATTCGGCGGTCAGGTGCTCGAACACCCAGTGGGGCACACGATTGCGTCTGTCATAGGATAGCACATAGTCCGAATGGGAGCGCACATTATCTAGGCCGGGAAAACCATACTTCATGATCTGTGCTATGCGTGAGGGCTGGGCGGTCAGGTTTACCTCGTTTGCGGGCATCAGCGTGGCGGCGGAAACAGATCCAAACACTGGAAGTCCAGGTAGACGTGGTAGTTTTCGGTGTTCATATTCGTTGTTGCCGCTCTGATGGCGTTCTGTGTATGAACCCAGATAAAAGGCGCCAAGAGCTGTGGCGCCGATTGCAAGGATGCTTTTCACTTTTAACCGACTCATTTTTAAATATTGTTTTATTTATAATATTTACAAAAGATAAGCATGCCGTGTGGCTATTGCACAATTTCCCATTGTCAGCTGTTTGAAAGCCAGTGTGAACGTAGATGACAGTTTAAATAATACCAAAAAAATGTCATATGTAAAAATACCAAGTTCAATAGGGCTGCGTTTAGAGTTTTTTTTTTTGGTTATTAAGTGCCGTTATTAGTTAAACCGCGAAAAAGAAGCAAAGCTAATTTATAAAGTGAACAATAAGAAAAATTAAAGCCGTTTTAAATAGTATATCGATTGAATTTCAACCGCTCCGCAGTTAACTAGTTTTATTTATTAATACACATACATTTCTACATACATGTACATAAAGTACGTTTAAATTCAACTTAAATACAAAAGTACAAGATTTATCGTCAGCACGAAACTGTGATTAACGTTATATGTAAAAAGAAAATTAATAAGTTAATTGGTTTTTTACGACGGAAAATTGTATCCAATCTCATTGAAAATCACAACGACACATTTGCAACGTGTGCAGCAGACAAACCGGTGAGAATGCTTCTTATTTTCGTCATTGTTAGAACTAAGTTGGTCGAAGGGGCGGGGCGGGGGCTGGGGGCAAGAGCGGGACTTAGAAGCTATCGGAAAATCTGATTAATGGGAAACTACTTAATAAGCTGTCGCGTGCTGCTGCCGCTGCTAGCACGTCTCCTTGTTGCAATCAACGAAATTACTAAACTCGGTGGCATTTGGCGGCCCCTCGCTATACAGATAGGTGACGGGCCAGAGCCGGGCGGCCGCAAAATCGCTGAGACTCTGCAGGCCGCCGGGTCGCGGCGGATGCTGTGTGTATTCACTGCTCGCCGCCGTCGCCGCTGTCGCCTGCTGATGCTTCGGTTTTTGTTTGCCACCGCTGGGCAGGCCCAGGCTCGAGTGGGTGCTTGGCTTGGTGCTGTTGCTGCCGGGATAGTAACGATCGCTGCACTTGCGCCACTGATCCGCCTCGTCGCCCACAAAGCACCTGGTAGGGTTCAGATATGTTAACTTGGGCAGTCATTCAAAAATGCATGCACACTCACCAGGGATAGTCGAAGCCGCGACTGTAGCCACAGGGATGATCCGTTTTGCAGCAATAGTCCCAGGAGCCGATTTCGGAGCCATCCGTTTCACAGGAATAGAAACCAGTTATGAGATTCTTCTCGCAGGGACTGCTGCGTCGACAGGGCTTGCCGGAGACCGTATAGTGGCGCCAGGCAACGTCGCCTTCCGAATAAAAAGTTAGTTAAGGATTGGAAACCCTTTTGTGCATGCGCAACACATAGTTAGTATTTGGGTAGGGGATACTTGGATTCGTCTTGGTTATGGGGGTACATGGTTACTACTGTACAGGTAGACGTTATTTCTATGTACATTCTGCGCCGTATTACAAACTAATTATATTTAATATATAAAACTAAAGCTACTTGTTGGGTTATACACATATTTGGATTGGTCAACCGCTGGTTATTTACACAATGATGGACGTGCAACAGGTTAAGATAGTCAGTTTACCCGGTTCCCGGAATATGTCCATGCGTCGATCGTTATTAACACGCGATCCGCCAATTGTGTTGACCTTGTCGCGGCACGTCCAATCGAATGGATTCCACGCGAATAGCCAGTAATCGCGCTCCTTGGTGTGCGTATAGTGCACATCCAGTTTGAGCTCGGTCTGATCCAGATCGGACATTTCGCAATTGAACGAACTAGCCTGGGCGCTGCAGGTTTAATACTCAGTGGGGTGAGAGTTCGGTTCAAGAGCGCCGGACTTACCCGTAGCTAAAGGCGTAGCACTTGAAGGGCGTCGTTTCGCGGAAGCGTATGCATTCCTTTTTGCAGGCCATTTCCGAGGGCACAGAGATGACCTTCTTGATAGCGGGGGGTAACAGGCGCGCGGGCGAGCCATAGCCCAGATAGCAAACTGAAAAGAAAAAGAAAACCTTGACAGATCTGGTGGGAAGGCTTCTCGAGCTGGTCTACGCACGTTTCTTGTGCTTCTCATCCATAATGGGCTGTATTTCACAGCCATGTCCATAGCTGGCGCGCTCAAAGATATCAAAGGCAGCATCCAGGATCAGATGCCGCTCCTTGTCCATATCCCGGACCGGCCAATCGCTCAGCTGACAGTTGTCAATGACGCCCGCGTGCCTCTGCTGGCCATAGCGAAAGGCGAAGGCGCGACACGTGAACTTGGTCGAGCGGATGCACTCCATCTCGCACTCGCCGACAGAGCGCACAGTTAGCGAGTCCCGCACAATTGACTTGAAAAAGCGCGTGGCATCAATGGCGCGGAAGAAGCATTCTGTAAATGGCAACAAAGGGTTGGAGCAATAGCTTCCACAGATTCCCCCCCAAACTCACGTGCATTGCGCGGATCGGAGAGCGCAGTGCTGGGTCCATCGCTACGCCGTGGCGGCGGCGACTGCGACCTGCACACGTCCATATCATCCGCCATGGAATAGATATCATAATCCCGATCCGGCTCTATGTCCACATAATAGTCCAGCTTATTGACGGGCCTGTCGCAGAGCATGCAATTGTCGCGTCCGGCCTGGTTGTACCGATAGCTGAACGTGTGGCATATGAAACTCGGGCGCTGATCCGAGCACAAACGCTCGCATTCCGTTAGAGTGGGTACATTGAAGGCATGCTTCACGGCGGTCTTGTGCAGCCGAAAGCCCTCGCTGGTCTTGGCGGAGCATTCTAAAGAGCGGGACGTGGGAATTTAATGTTGCAAGCCTTCTGCTCCTTTTATTTGCTTACCATCTTGTCCGGGTCGTCTGGTCCACTGTTGTCTGTAGTCGTTGCGCAAGCGTGGGTAGTCCTGGTCATAGCTGGAGCCGGGATAGCGCAACACCGCATTCGACTCACGTGGCGGCTCTCGGTGGTGCGTTGAGCCCAGCTCAAAATAGTTGAAATCGTGCTGATCCTTGCGGCGCTGCGATTCATAGAAGCTGTGCTTGCTATTCCCGCCGCCATAGTTGCCCAATTGCTCCTCCGCGCCAATCAAATAGGGCACAAACTTGTTGGGCTTCTTATAGGACACACTAGCGGGGCCCGGGCCGTGGCCAGGGCCGGGACCATCGCGATCCAGGTAATTGTGGGCAAGACCTGTTGATGGTGGACCGGGTGGCGCCGGTCGACTAGGCTCATGTGGGCGATACGGCGAATAGTCATGGCCAGGACGATACGAAGGCCTGTACTTGTCGATGCGATCCGTTTCAGGACGCGGCGGCCTATACGCCGAGCTGTCGTAGCCCGAGCTGCTCGGTAGTGTTTCCCAGCGATCGGGCCGATAACGCGACGGCGGCTCGGGACGCGCATAATCATGCCGATCAATATAATCGGGTCGCGAATGATCGCCAAAGCTGCTGGGCGGCGTGTGGCCAAAGTAGCCGGAGCCGGAGCCGGAGCCATGCGAGGAGAACTCATATGAGGAAGACGCCGAGCTGGAGGAATGCGAGCTGTGATAGTCCGTGGAGAAGGGTCGATGCTCGTAGGAACTGCTGGGTGGTCCCGACGGACCGCGATAATGATCCACAGCCGTGCTGCTGTGTGGCGGCGGCGGACGATAATGATCACGATCACGATCCCGATCACGGTCCCGATCATGTTCACGATCACGATCCCGATCGCCGCCATAGCCGCCGCCGCTGCTGCTGGGCCCGGGTGGATAGCTGCTGCTGCCGCCGCCGCCGCTGCCGCTGCTGCTGGGCTTGAAGTAAATGGGATTGCTGCTGATGGGCCCCTTGGAGCAGTCCTGGCAGGCGCTGCGTCGACAGCTGCTGGGCGCATTGCGATCCCGCTCATAATAATCATAATCCGGATGCCGCAGCATATTCGAGTCGCGTCGATTGGCGCTCGAATACAGATCCATTTGGGCCAGCGGCAACTCAATCAGCTCACAATCGCCCTGGCCATGTCCGGACGGATCCAGACGATAGTTAAAGCCCTCGCACATGAAGCGCTTCTCGTGGCCGCATTCGCGCATGCAATCCTCGACACGCTCACAGGATATGGAGCGACGCACCCAATGTGGCGCTATACGCTTGCCGGCCAGCACACGCCGGAAGCAGGCTGCAACAAGGAGAAGACGTGAAGATGCAGCAAAACAAGTGAAGCAATCGACGCCGCCGTCGCCTCCGCTCAAAGCAATAACGCTCAAAAAAAAACGACCTGCTCATAAGCTGTAAAAGCTGAAGGCAGTGAAGCGCGGCGCCAGCAGAACCCCCAAGATCGGCTGCTTCCATGTTGCTACATGTTTTTCTTATAGTTTTTCTTTTTCATTATGTTTTTTTTTTATTTTGTGTTTTGTGCTGCTGCTGCCATCACATCCGCTGCTGCTGCTAAATTATGTTCGAGTCATGTTTTTGCGACATGCCCCGCAACCCGCCCCCGCCCTTCTGCCTGGCACAAGGCCTTTTGCTCAGATTATCTCTGGAAAATTGGGCTTGAGTGGCAGTTCTTTTGCTTTTGAAAATTATGCAAATTACTTTAAATACGCACCAAACGCGTCTTTTGGCCCAGTGCATTGACCGAGCTGGTGTCAGGCCTCTACGTCTGCCCCTTACCTTTGGCATCCTCCACAACGATAATTGTGCTGCTTATTTCGCTGCCGCCGCCGCCGCCGCTGTGTCGCGTAGGACTCACAAATTTGGCGCTGCCGCCGGAGCTGCCCCAAAGCAGCAGCAGCATCAGCAGCAGCCACAGCAGCGGCTCGTCAACTGTTGGCAAACGCATTGGAAGGCGCTCAGCGAAGCACTAAATACACAGATATCAAATTTGTATATAATCCAGCTGGGCTTTTAATTCTATTACTATTTTCATTTATTTTATGTGCTCACTGATTACGTAAGCGCGGGTTTTTTTTAATTTAATTTTAATTCTTTTTTTTGCGATTTTGAATGTCAATTGCGTGAAAACGCGGGCGCAGCAGCCACACACACACAGACACGCACTCACACACACACGCAACAGGATATACGTAAACGCGTCTATTTCCGGCGGCGACTTGCGACGCGCTGCGTTGGCGTTTCTAATGGCGACTGAGCGGCTGCTGTGGTCAAGCTTGCGGTTTTATACACGGTATTAGAAAAACGCCCGCGCGCGTTTTTCACAGCAAACAATTTTCGAGCTTTTCTGCGCTGGGAGCTTTTTATTTTTCTTTTTTTCTGTTTTTTTTTTGGTCTGCGATTTGTTCTCTGCTTCTCGCTGGTGCTGTTGATTATTATGATGATGCCAACGGGGCGTCGTCGTCGTCTTTGAAGCCTTGAGACACGCTTTTAATGAGTACTTTTCGGGGCTGAAGATTGCTTATCTTTGATTCAGATGAAAATACGAGGGCAGTTGGTTGGTTAGTACCTTATGGCCAAGTGCTGCGTGGAGCAGTCAAGCATTAACTGACGTCACTCAAGGATGCCGCAAGTGAATGCATCTCATTGGAAGAGCAGTTTGGAAAATTCAATGAAATATCGCTCAGAAAATGTCATAGAATACTTGACTATATTCTAGCTAAAAGCTTTTCTAGGAAAATTTTGTGTTATATATATGGTATAATATTTGCAAAGTCGAGTTTTTCTTTAGTTCTAAACTGAAAACTAACAACAATATATATTTCATTAGCTCAGTAAATTTGAGCGACGTTTTATCAACATATTTGTTTTTTAAGGCACCAATAATTTATGCCAAGTACTTAACAGGAAACTAGAAACAATATATATTTCTTAAGTACAGCTACCTTTTATTTTTCGTTTTTTAAGGCAGCTTTAATATATGTCGAGGTTTTTTGGGTACCTTTTTTTCGCGGGAGTTGGCTAGGCTCAAGCCAGTCAATGTATCCTAGCTTTAAATCAAGACGAAATTTCTGGCCCAAACATCTCTGTTCATTGTACTCAGATATAATATGTTTATACACTTTATTTTTGTTTTTTAGACTCGATTTGTCTTATTATGCGCTGCTCTGTAAGCAGTATTAAAGAACTATTTTCAATCTATTCTTAGTTTTATCTAATTTGTTATTTAACTTTCAGTTGAAGCCAAAAAGCTGTGAGCATATAGTATAGGTTTTGTATATCTCGGTATATGAGTTGTCTAAGTGGGCAACTTCAGAACTAATATTTTTTTACTAAACCATGTACTACTGTATGAATGTTGTATTATTATTGCGAAAGGGCATAGTAGCCAGAGCTATTTAAAAAAGTTAGCTTGAGTTCGTAACTCTATACGTTACTTATAATAACAATAGTGAAGTCTAGTTTCTAACTCAAGATTCCTGTCCAAACTCTTTCAGTTCTAAGTAAACAATCGTATTCATATTCCCCAATCTCTTTTTCTATACATTTTAATTTATCTATCCTAACAAACCCATTAACTCTTAAACTGAACTTCAAAAGTCTAGCTAAAAGAAAGCTAAACTTCAAATCTAGTGCGTTGCCTAAGTCTTTTGTTTTCCTTGGCAGCGCATGCTGCCTGCTGCATTAATTGCTTCTAAGCCCTCTAAAGCTGCAATAAATACTCTGTAGGCCAAAAAGAAAACCGCTTTTAGATATCCTCTTGTATGCCAGCGAATAAAACAAAAGAGTGCAAACAAAATCGTATGTCAAGTTCGTTGCCTGAGTCTTTTGTTTTAGTTGGCAGCGCCTGCTGTCTGCTGCATTCGCAAATAACCAGCTAAATGGCTTCGGAACTTGCTATAACTAGTATTTATTGATAAAGCCTCCATTAAATACACTTCTGTATCGCAGTCAATATTTTGCAGTTTATAAATACAGCCCGTCGTGTTCGTTGCCCAAGTCTTTTACAATGTTGCGCCGACTTAAGACTAAATAGCCCATAACGTACTTCTAACATGCATAATTCATATATATTATCAAGTTCGTTGCCCAAGTCTCGGCAATTACATCGATCATAACAGCTGCAAGTGCCAGCCGCCCCTTACAGATGCTGGCCCGCACACAAAAAGCCAAACAAGCTGAGCGCATTTCCGTTTCTTAATCAATGTCACTGCTGTCATTTCAATGGTTGGCTTTTTGTGCATTCGGCTCGTCCAACAGATTTGCATACAATGCAGCCTTTCGGGGCGCTTGTTCAAGTGCAGTTGCTCTTGCACAATTTCAGTACAGTACAAAAAAAAAAAAAAAGAAGTAAACAAATCCAAAAAGAAGCTCAAATTGGCGTGCTACACTTCCGCTTCTAAGGCCCCAAAAAAAAAAAAGAAACACAAAACAATCTACTTAATCGTATTACTTGTTTGCTTATCTGCGGCAATTGCAAAGAGATCTGTCCCACGCCTAATAAATTCAACTAACAAACGCGCACGCAGAGCCCAACGATTTAATTACAATGTCGGATTTGAACTTGGCTTATGTCACCCGCTAGATATTTAGCTGAAAGTTCATGTACGTAGTGTCCGTCACAGTCGAGAAAACCAAAGGAAGTCAAAATATAAATGACTCTTTGATGAGTCGGCAGCACAATTTTAAAATTGTCATAAATCTTGTGCACTTGACAACCCATTCAAAATAAATAAACGCGGCTGACATCATATGTGTACAAGAAGCTTGCGGGTACTTTATGCCCGAGCAGAAGCCACTTTTATCAAAGAACTGTAGGTTAATTTGGAGGTTCGAACCCTCCCGACAAGACGAAAGACCATGTTGTTACTTTCCGCTTGAGGTTTAACACGTCGCTTTAATCACAAGGGAACATATATTGGGATCTAATAAATTCTGGCTTATGTTTTCTCAGGGTTTCAAACTCTCAACTCAATATGACATAAATAGAATCATAAACTGAGCTTAAATGTACTTTTGTAGCTTATGTCAACCCGATTAGGCATGAATCAAATATCGCATTGTGTTTTTATAATACCTTGTAACTTCTATATATAGATATATGCAGGCCCAACCTCATCGATAACCCACTTTGTTGACATTTGTTGCAATTTTTCAAAAAACTCTGCTCGACATTTTCGCATTCCACATGCGAGTTTCGGTCATTTGTTTTGTGAGCTTTTCGGATTATTTAGTATGGAAATGCTTTTTGGGCGCACATGCAATGTCTGTCTGTCGGAATACTCTGTCCACTGTCCACCCACTCGACGAGAGATTGCGCTTTATGCTAGTCTAATGGGTTTTTAGTTTTGTTACGCAAATAAAAGCCAGCCCGAAATGTGGGTCAACTGTCGCCGCCGCCCTCCTCCTCCCTGCGCCCGTACGTAATGAGTTTTAATTGTGCGCAATGTTAATTCTAGGTAATTTTTTTTTTAGTTTTTGTTACAATCGAAACCAAAAATAATAATAGCAACCGCTTCCAAAACCTTCTCCTCCTCCTCCTCCCACTGTCTGTTAGCTGGGCGCGAATCCAAATTAGTTGGGACCATGTTAAGATGTTTTATTGTACAGATTTATTCACTTACCATTCATCTCATCCATTGGATAACGATCGCGATCTCTGTCACCAGGCATCGGCATGGGCATGCTCATGTGTGGCTCTGGAAAGTAGAAGCACGAGATTAGGTTGGGCTTGGATTGAGCTAAAGCACCGACAGATCCCTCTTTATGGAATTCCGATGGGTTTTCCCGACAGTTAAGATATTTATTAGGTTAGCTCTTACTTTTGTGCACATAATCCTCGGGATTGAAATAGGTGGCTATGGTCTTATCGTCATCATAGTAACCATCTGGTCGCATCGCGCTGCCGTTGCGACGCATATACTCATCCCTAGGAGGCAGGGGGGACGGTGGTCTATCGTAGGCAGGCGGGCGCGCCGAAGAGCCCGGTCCAGGTCCATAGCCGTCGCCATCGTGAGCTGTATGCTGCGGCGGATCCGGTCGATTAGTATAGTCTGGGCGCGGCTCACCGGGTCCATCATAGGTGGATGTGGGCCGTGGTCCGTAGCCAGGTGATGTGGAGCTGTCAAAGGGACGAGCCGGCGAAGGATGCGGATAATCGGGTCGTTCGCTGCCGTAATCCGGTCTGGGCGCATAGCTGGGACGCTCGCCCGACGCGGGACGCAAAGTCGTGGGCGCATAGCGCTCCGGTGTGCCATAGCTATAGCCATTGCCATAGCCCAGACCAAAGATGGGACGTGGCGGGCCATGCGGCGTGGGACGTATGCCCTCCTCATCCATAGGGCCATAGGAGGGCCGGTAACGCTCGTCCACCTCGGGCACATTGGCCGCATAGCCGCCGGGTATATATACCTCCTCATTGGGCGCCGGATAGTTGTGCTCATAGAGCGTCGGGTATTTGTACAGTGGATAAATCTCGTGGGAGAAATACAAGCGATCCCCGACACCGGGCGGCGTGGGCACCGGCTGCGGCGCCTCGGGGTGATTGGTGTGCGGCGTTGGATCTACAACCAGCACGGGCGTATTGCCCACATCGAGCGGTCGATTGGGCAGATTCACGGGCGTTACGCCCGTGCTGATGGGACTCGGTGCGCCAATCGAATTGTCGCTCAGATCAAAGCAATTCGTTTTGCGCGAATACAAATCAAAGTCGGGATCGAAAATGACGCCGCCCGGGCGCCCGCTGCCCCCGCCGCCGCCTCCATATTGCTCCGATGACAACTGACATGTGCCGTTTCCGCGTCGATGCACACTGCAACAGAAAGAAGAAAAAGAAGTGGAAACGTTTTATTTTGCAACATTGGGTAATCGCAATTGCAATTGTCCAACTGCTGCTCCTCCGCCTCGCCAGCACTCACCCGAACGAGATGGCCTGACACTTCTCGCCCGCCTGCAGGCACTTCTCCTTGCACATCTTCAGCGAGTTGGTGTCTTCGGTGCGGAAGGTCTTCTCAAATGGCAGCATTGCCTCCAAAGCGATCCGCTCGAAGCAGTCTGCGCGGCGAAAACAAAACAAAACAAATCAGACGCTTACAAATCGAAACAACTTGGCTAATTGGCCAACTGCAATTGGCCAAAAGAAAAGTGCCAGAAAAAGTGCAACTCTTGAGTAATGCAGCCGCCCTACCTCCCTCCCTCCCTGTACACCCCTTTGAACTCCAAACTGGCAACTTCCGACTCCAAATTCCATTTGCAATGATCTCATCATGCGGTCAACACTTGCACTTTCAAGGCCATTCGCAGCATTTTTGCTCCACTGTACGGTAGGTTAGTTTTATGGCCCTCCCCCCACTCACAATTGTGTCCACGTTTCAGCTTTGTTCTTTATTCAAATTTGTACATTTTATTTGGCTTGCGTGCCGTGCGGACGCAGTTGACTGCCATTAGCCCCATGTGTGGCCCATAGAACTCTCGACTCCAGCCCCAACACTTGCCACTAACCAGGCCCCATGAATAATTCAAAAAGGTCAAATGGGACAACAAAAAAAACTATTTATTGCCCTGTGCAGGTTGTGTCTACGCTGCATGATGGACTTTATGATCTGTACTGGTTTTGACTATAATTAGATAACAAAAAATGATTGAAAATATTTGAGGGAGTAACTTTAGCTTAGAAATATCGGCGCTGTATTTAAAGTAAAGTGAGGAAAGTTTTTTTGGGTTCTGGGAGAACGGAAGATCGATCAGTCCACAATGGATAAATTATGGTCTAAGTGAGTCGAGGGCAAACTCCCTCCACTAACGTTATCTAACCTAGAGTATGATCTGAACACAAAAAAAAGTTTTCTGGAAGAAAAAAAAACACTGCAATCACTTGGGAATCAGCTCCAGGGCTACAAAGAAGCCTGAAAGCCTTCAATCCTCTTGTCGAGAATCTGCACAACTGGAACAGATGAGGTTAAAATTTCTTTCCTTATAGATATAGTAAGGGGATTTTTTATCCATGCATTTTACTACTGGTCCAACCCGGACACGAGCTCATAAGAATTTCATAAAGTTAAAAAAAAAAATTTATTTTTATATTTTTGTATATTTTTGGATAAATCAATAATATTTAAATATTTTACTAAATTTGTTAACAACATGCAAAGAGACAAGTGCTAAAACTAGGAGTTTCTAGCATGGTAATCTTTACTTTTACTGTACTATATTTTTTATCTTAGCGAGAATCATAATAACAGATACAGAAAGAAAAGAACAAAGTATTCATACAAGTTAAGCTTTTGTCAAGAAATTTTTAATGTATATAAAACATTAACAGATCCATAAGGTATATATATATTGCTGATCAATATGAATATATACATGTTCGTCGCACCAACTTTCAGTCTATTCTCTTAGTCATAAATCGAACTCCATTAAACTATTCATTGTTCCATGTTTTTATAGCAGGAAGTGCATATGAATCAGGGAGTTCGGATCAGTAGATCCCCTTTAAGCCATAATTCTACAAGGGTGTTAAATTTTCGGTTTGCCAAAGATCGAGCTGTTAATATCATTAACAAATTCCTCTAGCAATAATATACATATATAGCTTTTAAAAAGCCCAGACAACTGAAGTATCTGACTACGTCAAGCCTAATGTGGCGAATATTATTGTAGCGCTCTTTAACAAAAGAACTTGTTTGCATATTAAGAAAAGCTAACTAGAGTCTGGTTTCTTTTAACGACCAAATAACAGTTGATTATAATAAGATTATAAAACCTAATCAGAATTGTGATGATGAGTTAATTGTTGTGCTTTGTGGTTTCTCTCCACATCGAACGCTTACCATTTCGCGCTGAGACCAGCTGATTATCCACTGTGAGCGCTGCCGCCAGATTCGCGAGCAGCAGCTGCAGCGCCAGCAGCAGGCAGAACAGCGGGACTTTGAGCATCTGCCGCATTTGCCCGGTTGCTTAGCTTAGGCTCTCGAGTATTTTCACTTGCGAGCGGTAACAATAATTTCCCTTTTTTGCACGCACACACACAACTTTTTTCCCCTTATTTTGTGTTTTTTTTTGTCACTTCCTTTGGCATTATTGTGGGGAGTTCGAGTGGACTGTTTGGATCGACGGGAGCTTGGGAACTGAAAGACAGCGGCAAGCGCGATCGGCGTAGAAACCTTCTGTTTCTTTTTTAGCTTCTGTTTCTTTTTAAGCTCTTTCTTTCTTTTCGCTTGTTGTTGTTGCTGTCTCCTTTCTTTCTGTTACGTTCGCGTGCCAGTGGGCATCATTTCTTTGAGCATAACTGCTTCAGTTTGTGGCTTTCGCGTTACGTTTCGCTACTTTTCACATTCTTTTCACCGTTAATTATATTGCCAAAATATGCAGATCATTAAAGATGAGATGTGGGAGAACGCATATTTATGGGTTCGAGTCCAAAAGCGAAGGCAACAACGAAATTCTGAAATGTTTCAGTTTGGAAAAAATAAGTTCAACAATTCTCAGAGCGCGCGTGTCATTAACCTGGCCAAAAAAAAAAAATCTCGTTTGGCTTCCTTGATGACGCCATAAGTTCTATTGCCTGTTCTGGAGCCTATGACCTTTTGGCCCAAGTTTTTGGCCACTTGGTAATTAGCATTTTTTTTTCTTTTTTTTTTTTTTGAATGACAAAGTGCTCAGCAATGCGTAAATACAATTGCCATCATTGCCGTCGCACTTGGCCAAATGTAAAGCCAAAAACAAAAATGATCAAAAATTATTAAACAAAACAAAAATTTAAAACAAAACAGCTTAAAACCGCGCAAAACCTTTTAATTGTTGCCCAGAGCGAACGATAGACAGGGGAAAGAAGAAAAAAACCGGCAATTAATTTATTATGACAGCTTGAGAAAAATATAAACCCAAATTATGAATGATTAATTGAAAAGCTGCTCAGAATATATTTAAAAAATTTATGTGTATAATGTTTATAAAAAGAAATCGTTTTTTTTTTTGCGCCAAATTTCACTCAGGTGTTAAGTATTCGGCTTCTGGGGCAACATCTCAACGCCTTTCCGGCCGAATTATGCTGAGAATTGTAACGGTAATTTGGATTGTCAAGCTTCCGTTGCGCTTTGACATTTTGGCAAACGGTTAATGACAAGAAAGCTCGCACATCACACACACACACACACACATGCACACACATGCACAGCTGCAGCGCAATTTCAATTTACTTGCTTTGATTTTAAGTATTTCTTTTTTTAAATTCTTTTCTTTCTTTTTTTGCGTTTATTTTAATTACATTTTTTTTTCTTCTATTTTTTATTTGTTTTCTTTTATTTTTGTTTGCCGCTTTCGTTTCTGGTTTGGCTTGATTTATTTTTTTTTTTTTGTTACGCTGCGACTCGAACTCAAACGCCGATCCGCACTCGCTAAACAATTGAAACTGAATAAAAATTCTGATTTAGTTGTATTCGAAACTCATCGGATGAGCAGAAAGCAGCGCTGCCCGCAGCGGCAGCAGCGGCGACAGCGACGCCGGCAGCAGCAACATCAAATAAAAGCATCGCGCTCTTTTGTTGTTGTTTTCATTGTTGTTGTTGTTGTTGTTGTTGCTGGCATTTACGGCGTTTAGATTTGAACTCAGTTAGGCGCAGGCAGCTTGAGGCAGTTCATCATTATGATCATCATTAGCAATTGCCACGCCGCGCACACTTGAGACGCCGCTGCCAGCTGAGCTCGGGATGTCGATCGGCCTGGCGCTTGCCTTGGAAGCAGCGTCGCGTCGTCGTCGGCGTCGTCGTCGTCGTCGTCGTCTTCATCGTCGCCTTCTTTCGCCAGCCACCATTTCCTCTAATAGCTGCGCATGACTCACAGAAAATTGTTTCAATATGAAATTGTAGCAAGCACTTTGTGTGTTTGTTGCAAGCCGCATTTTGTATGCCCTATAAAATTGAGTTGAGCTTTTTATTTAAATTGAGTTTGTTTAAATTAAAAGCTACTTTTAAGACAGCTTTGTATGGCCTATTAAGTGAAACAGAGCTTTTCAATCAAGTATAGTTTGACTAAAATATAAAATTCATAAACTCAGCTTTTGAATTAAGTTTTTGAATGCTTTAATGTGAACTTTTTACAAGCAAAGCTTTCTTAGCCAACAAAAATCTACAAACTTAAAAGCTTAAAGCTGTTTTTCATTATACAAGGAATTTGTTTGCCTGTTTCAAGCTGCATTTTGTGTAAAAGCTGAGCTTTAAATTAAAATATGGTGTGCCTTAAATTAGTTATAGTTTGTCTGAAATATAGGTTGCCCTATAATACAAAGAAATGCCTTTATATTAATATAGTATCCTGAAGTATGCATTTTTTATAAGCAATATAATATAAAACTCGTAACATTTAAAAGATGAAACGATCCTATAATTTTAACTTTTTATAAGCAAGTATTTCTTTGGTATTAATGCCCTGCAGGAAGGGTTTAATATTAATCATAAATCGGGGATTTTAAGAGCAGAGTTTTATTATATAAGGATTACAAAAATTTCGGATCTGTGGAAACAATATTCGATCAATCGGCAAATTTTCAAAATATTTTAAGGAGAGAGAGAACACATCTTCTTTAGCAGCGATTAAATGTATCTACAGACTTTATAAAACAAATTGTATACTTTATATATACATATATACTTTTATGTATATATTTATATATATTCATGACTGTTTGATAGTTTAATAATTTTAAAGGAGTTTCTTCGCTTTTTAAGCCAGTTTTTTAAAACTTTTCTAAAACTTCCTTTTTCTGAGTATTATTTAATATTTTATAATTTAGCTATAGACATTTCATTCAAGCAGTTCCTTTTCCTTGGGTATACAAAGTCTTACACACAGCTTAAATGCCTCAGCTGGAAAGTGTATGCAGAGGCGTGTTTATTTGTGTGCGCGCAATTAGAGGCAAGTGTTAGACGTCTGTTGCTGTAGCATTAGAATTAGTAGAGCAGTTGAATTAGAACCAACTACAGAATTGGAAAGAACCAGAACTTCAAAGCGCCAAAGAATGGCATAATAATTTCCTTAACTAACTTTACGCTTTGCTAGAGCCACTAAAAGGAGCGCACAATTCAAATTGACTGAGGGCTTTGCTCGCCGGCCAATGCACCTCACAAAAATGTTATTATATGAAAAACTTGAAGAGTTTTCAGTTTTCAGCAAACAGCTGAAGCGTTAATTGGTGCAAGTTTTCACTGCAACAACCAAAAGTTTTGTGCCCTGAGTGTGTGTGTGTGTGTGTGTGTGTGTGCGTCGTTTTCGGGGGGGTCTTATAATTGGCGACACCTTTAACTGCCGACCTTGTCATGCTCGCTGACGTCGTCTAATTCAGGCCGGGGCTGTTCTTCATCAGCGCCTCGGCAACGACTTTGCAGTCGACGTCAGCTGCGCTGCCGGCAACGTTAAGCGAGCGTGTCCAGCGGCAGGAGCAGCAGCCGGCTGCCAGCTGCTGCAAAGATTCGCCGAATCTCAGCTGAGCTCATTCTTAGCACCAATTTGCATGGTGAAACAGAAATTCCTTAGAATACGCCCAGCTAGGTGCAGCCGCGCTTCAAGGTTGCAGTTCGTGCCCCGAATTGCTGTCGGATTAGGCAAATTTGGCAGCAGCAACAAAAGAAATATGTATGTACATATATACAATTTGCCATGGGAAAGATTGCACAATACGCATTTGATTTTTTTATATTTATCTATTTGATTTGTATTTTTTGGGGGGCGCTCTGCTCCACATTTTGGCTGCGATTGATATTTGCGTGTCAGTGCGGCCAAACTGTCGCCGCCTATCAAAAATCGCCTCAAAAAAACGCCAGAAAAAATCGCCACAAAAATTCAACGGGTGCTCGGCGAATGGCGCACGCGCCGCGACTGCCAAGTGCGGCCAAGCAACAACAACAAATATATCGATTCCACTTGGCATCACGTTTTGCAGCGTGAACAATTTCCATATACAGCGCGTGTCTAATACAGATATTGGACGGCAGATATCTTGCGCTCGCATCGGGCCCAAGGAGCATGTAACACCCGTCCCAGCTAAAAAAGTAAAAAAAAATTAAATAATAAAAATTTAAAACGTATTTTGAAATGGAAAACGCAGCGCTCCCATGCGAACCATCGATTGGGTAAACGCATAAATTGATCGGAGGTGATTGACAGTTGTGGGCGAGCAGGAAACGCCGCCCGTCGACAACAACTTTGTGTTTGGGGGGAAGGAAGGGTTAAATTACGCAAAGGTTTTTGCTTCTTCTTCTTGAGCGGTCAGTTCAAAGCAGCAGCAGCAGGTTTAAAATTCTTGCGAATCAAGGGTCTGTTGTTCAAGCATATTTGAGTTGGAGGTATATTAGTATTTTCCAAGTTATCCCGATTTTGTCTGTGGCTAACGTATGCAAAGCATGTCCCTCAATCATTTTTTGCCGGAGGCTCTTTATCAAGATCTTTGGCTACTGCATTCCGAAGAGCACCCTCTAAAGCAGACAGCAGGGCATATGAGTGAATATGAGTATGAAACTATAGTCATAGGCGATCATAAAAGTCGTGTCTAATGTGCGACATAGTGAGAAATGAGTATAGAGAAAGAGCTAGTATATAATCTATGCTTAGGATAGACAAAAGATAGAATCCAGGCCGCTTAAGCAAAGGAATCTAGCATTATTGAAACGGGCAAAGGTCTACCTTATGTCTACCCCAAGCATATATTAGTAAATGTTCAATAATATATGATAAAAAACTCAAACTTTGTTTTTCACTCTTACAATACATCTCTTCTCGGGTTTCTGTCCGGAATCTGACTCAACCTAACCTAATCTAGGCCAACCTAACCTAACATTATCCAACCTAACCTAACATTATCCAACCTAACCTAACTTTGCCTCAATTGTTCAATCGCTTTGACTCTTTACTCACACATTCACACACTTATTTACGTACATGTTGATGCATGTAGAACAAGTATCATTATAGATCTAGCTGATAGAAAAATATGATTGAATTGATTGCTTTACAATTGTTACTTAATTGCCGAAACGGATTCTTAATGCCCAAGGAATTGGTTACAGTTTATGGGCTATTTGTTGCCGTTTGGCAAATCGGCAAACTGGTTATTCACGTAACTGGCATTAGCTCAGTCGCTTTTGTGCTTATCATAAACGATTTGTGTATCATATTCAATTTGTGTTCAATCATGTCAACTTTATGTATGGGCCAGTCATATCCATAAAGTTACCTCTAAGCAGCACTTGATCAACTTTTAATTTTGGTTAAAGGGGGAGTTGTCACTAAGCCGCTGCTATAGAAATCAAATGTTCATGTTAAATTGACAGTCGGTGTTGGCAAACAGCTGTTTGTTGCAATGTGCAACGCGCACATGCCCCACATTTCGCAGAAATGTTGAAAGAAAAGCTTAAACTCACCTAACAGGAAGTATTTGCATTCGCAATTTGGGATTCGCGCACTGAAAATGAAAGTTATAATCCGCATAGCCGTAGCAGTGGCAGCCACAGCCCACGGGCACACATATTATTATTGTTTTATGTAGCTTGCAGCTCCCGGTGTGGTACGCATTGGCTTCACTCGAATATTTATCAACACACAAATAACCATTATGCAATTTACCAAGACAAACGGGGCAATTTGCGGCAGCCCGGCCTGGCAACCATCCACATGCAACAAGCCGATTGCTGCAATGCAGCCTGGGCCCTGGTTGAGGGGGTCGCCCTGCAGTCTATGGCCAAAACACACTGGCCTACATATGCATGGCCACACAGACAGCAGCCCAATCAGCGTTTAACAGTTCGGTTTATAGCAGTCCAATCAAAGATTAACAGTGTAGTTAACAGGAAGTCGTAACAGCAGCAGTAACAGAATGCTTGAGGAGGTCGCCTTGTGGTCTATGGCAAAAACCAACTAACCTACATATGCAAAGGCACACATACACAGATTGGTCCAAACAGCACGTTTAATTAACAGCAGCCCAATCTATGCTTTACATTTCAGTTAACAGCAGCCGTAACAGAATGCAACAGCTGCTGTTATGTCAAGTTGTCGACCCATAAATTGCTCATCAAATGCCCATTAAATCGACTGCGTGTGATGCATTTGATGATTAGTTTTAAAAGGGTTCGAAATTGGTTAAGTAATTGCCCAAAAATGGTAATAAAAAGAAAAATAAAAAAATGCGTTTTATTGCAAATTTTTGGTGTTGCTTATGTTAAGCACACGAGCCGTACGTGATCGTGATGCCCCCCTCTGCTTGACAGCGACAATTGTGACCCATTTACATTTACAGCGTTTAATTGACACGGACAGCAACAGCAACAACAACAGCAACAGCTGCTGTTATGGCCACATAACAGTCAAGGTCGTCTGCGAAGATGCTTTGGGCTTGATATGCTAGGGATAAGCTTGACAATTTTTGTGGTTGTTGTTGCTGCTGTTGCTGCTGCTGCTGCTGCTGCCGTGACGTTCACTTTTGTGGCCGAAGAAGGCAGTTAAGCGATACATTCAATCGCAATATGCTTTATGTGCCAGTTGATCATTCACATGGAATAATTTCAGAAGAGGTTGCAAACAATGCGATTATGACATTAATATAATGTCATTAATATAACAACAAGCAAGAATGCTGCCATCGGGTACAACCGACTGCCTAATACCCGTGCACAGTTCAATATCGTGACAGTTTTGATGAAGATATATTCATTTGATTCAATATTAATATATTTGTTTATGGATCGATCCTTTGAGTTCTTCTGTTCTCTCTTAATTTCAAATGTGGCCAGTTTAGCTATTAAATTGTGATTCATGTATTTCCTTTTTGAGGTAAAAAGGTCTATGTTGTTTCTTTTCTGCCAATATCTAAAGAATGTATTTTCAAACCAACAAAGTAATTATATATATATTCTTGATCAGGATGAAGATATGACTTGATCTGTTAATTAATTGTTAATGTTACTTTTCCTGAACCAGACTCTTTAAATACTCGTTCTCGTTATTGCATGTCCATAATTTCTATAAATATCTATTTTCGCATTTTCTATGTCTTCCTTTCCCATTTCCATTATATCGATATTTAGCGATTGTTACTTATTCCAAACATGAGCATCTCCCAAACGGGCAATCCCCACTCGAGCATTCCAGAAACTTTATGAACGAGCTTAATAATTTGTATTGTGTGACACAAAGTGAACAGAGACAAACAACAAATTTTGCATTAAAACTTGCCGAGTCAAAGTTCGATTGTCTATGTCAGGTGGAGACAACAACGACGTCCACTTTTTTAATGTGACTTCATTTTGCAGCAGCAACTGATGCGTGGTTGCTGCAGCCAACAGGCAGCTGCCCCAAGTTGTTGTTGTTGTTGTTGTTGTTACTATATACTGTCTTAAGCAACAACAACAACAGGCAGACCTCTTGGTTAACCAACTCGTAAAACACTTAACAGTGCGCTGTTGTTGTAGCTACTGTTATTGTTGCTGCTGTTATTGCGGCTGCTGTAGTTGTTGTTGCTGCTGTTGTTGTCGCTGCTGCGCGCATGCGTCACGTATGCTTTTTACATTGGTCGTCGCTGCTGTCGCTGCTGCTGCGGCTGCCGTCTGCTGCTGGCGCCTGCAATTGGGTATAAAACGGATGAGCCATTGGCCATTGTTTATCAGTCATTGGCAGACATTGGCAGTGCAGCGGGCATTATCAGCAGCAAAAGTCGAGTTTAAACGCGTTCGCAAACTACAAAAAAAAACAACTTAAATATGACCGCTCTAAGAGTAATCGTAAGTGTGCCCAGCTAAACCAAATAATATCAACAAGGACTCACGTGCAGTGTGCAAAAACAAGAAAAAAAACAAATATTACATAATCGTGAAAAAATTGGCACAGGCTTAAAGCTGTATACCGAAGCTTATATAACACGACTTACATAAACATAAACCAAAGCCTTGCCTGACAACTGTCGGCATTAAGTGCTCAGGCTAAACAGGCCAAATTGATCTTAACTCAAACAAATATCGCACTTCACACGATTTCGGCGTTCAAAATCCCAGCTTTACAGGCGCCAACATTTTCGTATTCAAACGCTTTTTTTTCATAGTTAGTTTGTAATTTTCTTATTAATAGAAAGTATTTTCGTTTAGTTTATTTAAACGGCTCAAGTTGCTTTAATGTTTTGTAATTTGGGCCCGTCGCCGTTGCCCTTGGAGTTGGCCAAAAAGCTGCCATTGCGCTATTTACTCTAGTTCAGTTATTGATTTGGCCTTAATTGCAATTGCCCAAAATTGTTTGCCATTAAAAGTAAAGGTTATAGGCAATATAAAACAAACTTGCATAACTTTGTCGTCGTTTTGTTTTATACTACACCTTGATACACTTTTGAATGTTAGATACCCTGTTGATACCCTGTAGTTTTGCGGCAATCTCTTGCACATGCGTGCACGACTTGCTCAGGGAAGCCTTCTAAGAAGTACAGCTGCCGTCTTCTTAGCCTTTTTTAGCTAATTAAAGCTATTAAAACTAGATTTTTCTATCTATTAGTTCTTGCATTACAAATGTTATAAGAGTAATAAATATTACTTAGAGAAATTTTAGATATTTAAAAGCGTTCTATAAATTAGGCTATATTTTATTTAGTCGCTAATTAAAATGGTAGATTTATTAAGATTTTAAACATTTATTAGGCATAAATATAATTCGTATATATTTTTGGATACATGAAAAGTCTTCTATAACTCCTGCCATAAATTATCGATAAGTATCGATTTTGAGATAACATTGAGAAGGAATAATAAGAGCAACTCCTAGACGGGCACTCCCCATCATTCAAAATAAAAACTATATCATTAATATCATTTAAAATATCTCTAATTTTATATATCTTTTATGTATCGTTTATTATATAAATATGCATGGTCTTTCTATTGTGAAGCAAAATAATTGAATAAATAATAGTCTCCGAAATCCATTTCGGAATATATAAACAATTAAAGAAATCGAACAAATATAAATAAATAAATATATATTGACTAGAATCTTGTGAGCTGTGCGAAATGCAAAGTTTTTATATTAAATCAATTCAATTGACTTTAATTTAGATTCAAGTATTGATAGAAAAACTAGCAAATCGATTTTCTATTAAAAAACAGTTTCTAGGTGTTAAAAGATTGTTTGTTTATTTTTTTCAATTCTTTTCACAGGTCTTTGTTGCACTTTTCGCTGTGGCTTACTGCGCGCCCAGTCCCGGCTTCTTTGGCAAACAGTAAGTGAACCATAAACCATATACGATAAACCGTAAATAGTATATTTAAACCGACATATAAAACGTTTCCCGTGTTGTGCAACTAACATTGATTTTTTATGATTGGTTTTTGTATGGCTTTTTAAACGCCGACATTTAAGCGTCATGAATTATGGATTCAATTACGCTCGAAATGAAGCAATCAATGCAATCAATATATAGAGATAGTAAAAACTTGCGGGCCCTAGAGCCGTTGAATGGGTTTAGCCTGTTCGTGAATGAGCTGATTTTGTTGCTGTACATCGTTCGATGTACGGACGCGATTGGCAGCCAGTGAACCCCTGTGGCAACGCTTAGGAATTTCACAGGCGACGCTTAACATTTAATTCATTATAATGCACACACATAATTGCGCCGCTTAATTAACAATTCCGAGCATTGGTCTTGTGCGGCTCTCGGCGCTGGGGGATCTCCTGTGCCAAGTGGCAGTGCGACGGGGTTCAAGCAACTGCCAAGACGGCTGTTAAACAAGTCGAGCTGACTGAGTGCCAGCTATTTAGCTATTTAGCTGATTAGCTAATAACATTGAATGCCAATTATTGTGTGTGTGTGGCTACCTTACCACCAGCCCAACCCCATTCCCCCCAATCTCCTCCAGTCGTATCATTAGCCCAGACATATATCACTTTCATTTGCTTTCCAATTGTTGCCTGTGTCTTGAACTTCTTGTCCCTCTCCCCAATTCCCAGTGAACACCACACAATTCATGTGCCCTATAAGGTGCACACGGTGCATCATCATCATGTCCAGAAGATCGCCGTGCCGGTGGTGAAACATGTGCCCGTCTACAAGGAGGTGCATGTGCCCGTCTACAAGGAGGTGCCCGTCCATCATGTCCATCACGAGGAGATTGTGCCGGTGCATGTGCATGAGGACCATCACGATTATCATCATGACTTCCACAAGGGCTGGAACTCGCTCTCCCATGGCTGGTAAAGCACACACGCACACACATGCGCACACACACACACACACACCCACCCAACACAACTTGTTTGCTTTGTAAATATCTGTACAATGTCTTAAGTTTAAAGAAAAAACAAATGTCTGTAAATAAAAGTGAGATTTTTTGATTATAAACCTTTTTGGGATTTATTATAATTTTTGACTGGGCAGCGTTTTTTTTGTTTTTTGTTTTTATGATATAAGTGTGCCTGGTTTTAATTTGCAGTTGCACTTGACCTTGGCCACCGCTGGCCGCTTGATGTGGCCGCCGTTTTGCAAGAACGACTTTCACAAAAGCGGCTCGGGGTCAACTAGCAACAGCAGCGGGCAGCAGCCAGCTGCCAGCCAGCAGACAGCCAGTTGATCACCTGTAAAGTCCGCTCCTTGGGGGAACTGGTACTTGGCTTCGTTGTAAGCTGATAGCTTCACTCTGGGCGTGGCACATTCTCGACGCATGACAAGGTTTTGGGTCAACCTATAAATAAATAAATTACTTTACGATATTTTCTTTTGTTAATGGGAGCGAAGTTTTTTTTTTTGACAATCGATAAATATATTCTTTCCAAATATAAATATTTTTTAAATTCTAACGGAATTCGAGATTTGCTCAGAATGTCTATAGAATTTTGTTATATTTTTGTAAATGGAATTCGAAGCGTAGATTTCAATGATCGGTTCGAGGTTCAGGTTAAATGTTAATCAAATAAGTAACACGATAAAATTCTATTCTATTCTTAAATTCTTTAGGAATTCAGATGTATTTAAGCAGCTTTCAATATATTTATATTTTTGTAATTGATTCCAATTGAATCGGTAAGTTATGTCGAGGTTCAGCTAGAATATTTATTAAATATATATAAAGATACTTAATCGTTTTCTCTTATATATATATATATTTAAAATTCTACAGGAATTCGGGATTATTTAAACAGCCTCCAGTCTGTCTGCATCGGAGCTTGATACTGGCTTATTGCATTAAAAGGTGACCAATGGGCGTGCCACATGACAACTGTGGGTTCAACTTTTCAAACGAGTATTTACTTGATTTAATGATTCAAACTAGAAACTTAGACTCTTTGCCACACGTGTCAACTAAGCCATAAATCAAGTTCGAATTCAGCTTATTATGTACTGAATAGACAAAGAATCCAAACCGGAGGCAATAAACAATTGCAGCGAATTATAGCAAAACTCAAGGAACTTTGCAGGAGTTCTTGGCATAGAATTTGTTTTTATAGTAATATACAAGAATGCTGAACTAAATGAACGTTAAAAGTACAAAAATCTATACTATCTATCTATCTATACTCAAGTCTTTAAAGTAAAATTAAATTTGGTGCCCTTTACATGCACATGTATTAACAAAAACTTCCATCAAATCTTCCACCATAATCTTCCATTATCAACAAAGATCTTCCGTCAAATTAGTTTTAAGTATATAACAGAAAATTCCTGACTAAATTCTTTTAAGTGTGATGAAATCCAAAACATATTAAAATGTTTTTAAAAATATACTCATATATTCTTTAAAGTATGATAGAAGTTAAAATGAAAGTATATAACTGCAAGTCCTAAAATATTAAACTAAATTATCTACCGGATTCTTCTAAGAAAGTACAAAATTCTCTACTAAAGTCGTAGATATGTGATGAAATTTTGAACCCTTTAAATGTAATACGTGTACATTATATTTACTTAAGACAATCTTCCATCAATATCTTCGATCAATACCAGATACTTCTAAGCAACCCATTCAATCAAAAGTCCAACCAACTTCCATTGATATAAATAGTTCTTAGAATAAATGATCTGCCAGTATACTCAGATATAGAACCCTTTAAAAGGTTTATATAGATAGCACATTAAATCCAGGCAACTTTAGTTTATATGACCAACATGTTTTTTTATTGACGCCAACAACAGAATTTCAAAAGTTGAGAACTAGGCAGCGTTAGGAGGAAGCTAAATAAAGGAAAAATGCGTGTGATGAGCGTGTGGACAGATCGCGTAGAGTGTGGACAGGACAGTGTGGAGAGGCGCTTTGTGTGTGTGTGTGTGTGTGGCTGCTTAGTTGCAGAAGGGGAAGTTGGGGCACTGATGCGGCGAGACGCCGGCGGGATACAGACGCTCCGTCCAGCCGGGCAATGGTGGTGCGGCGACAGGTGCAGCTGCATGTCCGGCATTCACATCGCAATAGGGATAGTTGGGGCAGGTCTGTGGATTGATGCCAGCTGGATATTTGTCGCCGCCGGCGGAAGCGGCTGGTGCCGCATTCCAGCTAGGCTGTGGCTGCCACTGTTGCTGTGGTTCCTGCCACTGCGGCTGCGGCTGCTGCCAGTGCTGTTGCGGCTGTGGCTGCCACTGGGGCTGCGGTTGTTGCCACTGCGGCTGCGGCTGCTGCCACTGCGATTGTGGATTGTGCAGGCGCGCGTTATCACAGATGGGAAAATTGGGGCAGTCCTGTGGATTCACACCGGCGGGATATTGAGCAGCTGGCGGATGCTGTGGCTTGGCCAGAGCCAGCGCCAGGCAGGAGGCGAGCAGCTGCAGGAGCACAAAGTTTCAGAAGAGTTGCAGCTTAACTTGATGGCGCGGCAGCTACTCACCAGCTTGAAGAACATGTTGATTATTATAATCCTTGCGGGTCTGTGTGTGTGTGTATGTATGTGGTTTTGCCAATTGGACTATAAAGTCGTGTTTGAACTTAAACTTCCAATTGGGTTCCTGGTCAGCGCTGCACTGTGGGACAAACACGGCCGTCAGCTTGGCTTATATAGCCGAACAACAGTCTCTCTCGCGTTGACCGGCTAGAACCGAGTCTCAGACTCCGACACCGTTGGCTCGGTTTCACTTTCATTGGCTGGCTGGCTGGCTGGCTGGCAGATTTGGTGCGGCATTGGCAACTGCATTTGCTGCTGCTGTTGTTGTTGTTGTTGTAGTTGACTGATCTCGCGCATATTTTGCTTGATTGGCCCAACAGATTATTATTAGAGTCTTTGTTGTGCGCGCGAGCGAACAAATAAATCGAACGGCCACAACAGACACATATGCATGCCCCTACTTACATGCGATATCTACACACATATACATATATGTATATATATGTGTGTGTGTGCATTTATATCAAGTTACAGGCCGTCATTAGCAATAGCAATGAACTAAGCCCCGTTCGCATTCTAGCCAAAAATAAAAAGATATAGCATATGTATATATTTGATTGTCTTTTGGCTTTCGGCCCACTTGGCGCGTTGGCGTTTTCCATTTTGGCCAAGTGCCTTTTTTGTTGTTTCTGTTGTTGCAGCCTCTCAACCCTTGCCACATATTGGCGCTGTCATGGAATCTGTTCGTGAATCACTTTATTTGTGCCGCAGGTTTCCTTGTCGTGCCGCCAGCAACACCTTTGCCATCGACAGCGCCAACGCGCCTTGCTCTTGGCTCCACTCACACACACACACGCACACACACACACACACACACACAGGCCCGGAAGGGGCCAAGTCGCATGGAAACTGGTTTCGGTGCAGCGAACTTGCACTAGTTTCCAGGCACTGCATGGACCAGAGCCCGATCTAAGCTCCGATTCTAGGCGAGGGATGGGCGTTAAGCAATTAAAATTTGGCTTTCAATTTTTCAAATAGCTTAAATATCTTAAAACATTGTTTGGCTACCAAATGATAAGAACTTGAAAAGCTTTTAAACCAAAATGAGATGGTTTAGAAAATAAAATGCCAAAATGTGATTAATATATGTTTGCTTAAGCAAAAGTTCCTAAGGAAGGACAACACGTAGTTAAAAAGTCGTGAGGTTCTTAATTTGATTATATTATTAAATACTTGAGTTTCATTTAATCGAATTGATATTTTAATTATAAGTCAAATATACAATTGTAATAGTTTATATTATAAAAATCGCTACCAACTTAATTGTTTCTAATTGTTTAAATGCAAATAATCAATTAATAATATAATTATCTTTTATAATTAATATGTATAATTAAGTTTTATGGCAATGGGCTTGTTTGAGCTTGAATAATTATTAAAACATAATAATATACCTAATTGCGCTTAACTTTCTAATATTCATTAATTATTTTTTGGGAAACGTTTTTTACATTTAAATTGAATTTTTATAAAAATTGTCTCATTTACAGTTTAAATACTTTATATTATAGATGTTGCTCTTAGTTTTGTAAAAGTAATTTCTGTTAAAGTTAATGAATTCAAATTTGAATTTAAATTTAAATAATTATATTAGATCATACATTAGATATTAGGGCTATCTTTTATTGTACCTATCTTATAATATCTTTATGATTGAGGAACTGTATTTAATTCAAGTGAATATTTTTATAATAGTCAACTTAATAAATATTATATATAGTATTATATTATGCTAACTATTAGAACTAATTGTTTTAAGCTTTATTATATACATACTTATTATATAAATATAACATTTATAGTTAATTTTATAGAAACGACAAGTAATTTCAATTGATATCATTACTCAAATTCAAATTAAAACTTTGCTTTAATTTGTACATGCATTATAATGATATAAATCAATAGCTGTTCACAGATTTATCAAAATATAAATCCATATTATTTTTTTTTTTTTTTTTTTTTAAACGTATACGAAACTGATAATTCTACAGTTAAGTCTAACAAATGAGACAAAAACGAAAATGGGTTGACTTTAAAAACCGATCTGAGAGATCAATTGAATGTGACCTCCGCAATCTCCTCCGCACTCGAACTCCTCCAATTCTACGTCTCATTAGAGGACGCCTGGCAAGCACTTCTCTAGTGTCTTAATCCAAGTCGGACTAGTAATATACCTAAAGTAAACTCTTGCCAGCCCTAGTTCTAGCAGGTTTTTGTCCAGCTTATGCAAATGTTGTTGCATATTGTCGCCAGAAAAACACGCTGCTTGTCGAAGCTGTGCCGCACACGCATGCGCTTGACCAATGCCACCGAGAACATGGCGCACGCACCGACTTCCTGGCCAGAGGCCTACGTCACACAGATCAGATTGGGGCAATTCAATTACGAGGCGTACAAAAATGCGCTGTCACACAAATTATGAGCTAATCAGGCGGCGGGGCAGCAAGCCAGCCCAGACACACACACACACACACACGCACACATTTGCAACAGATTGTTGAACGTGGACGGGTGACGGTCAGTGTAGCCAATTCAGCTATTTTCCAGCTACATTTTGGGTGTTTTTAGCTATTTTTGGCTAGCCTAATATGTGCTCAGCAAGCTAGCTCAGCTATTTTTAGCCATTTTCATTGAAAATATTGATTTCGGCTAGATTTTTTAAAACGGCAGTTGGCAACACTGGCGACGGCGGCCAATTGTTGGCAGCGTTGTAACAGATTTAGTTTAATTCTTATAATTTGTGTTTGCAACTGCCGCCGCCGGCAGCCATTGGCCAGGAATGTGCGCGGGCGCGGCTGCTCCACTTGTAGGTGGCTGTGCCGAGTGTGGTGCTGGTGTTGGTGTTGGTGGTGCCGCTGGAGCTGGAGCCGAAGCTGGCGGCTAATGCGAATGCGTTACGTGGCGCGGGCGCGCTGTAAGCCGATCTCGTTAGCCTTGATCAATGGCCCGGAAAAATAAAAGCCAGCGAAATTGAAATTGTTGACCGCTCGCATAATGCATGTGTATGTAAGTGTGTGTGTGTGTGTTTGTTCTCGCGCTTGTTGTTGTGCCTGATATCTCAACTGTCGTGTTTGCCTTTTTTGTCACATTGGCGCGCATTTGAAATTATTACGGCCATTAGCTGTCGCCTTTTTTATTTTTCGTCTAGTTTTTAATTATCAATTTCCTTCTGCGCTGACGGATAACACTTAACGGGGCGTATGCCTTAGGTGTGTCATGGAAAAGAAAGCGTATTTGCATACAATTTGCATATTCAAGTTATTTTTTGTTTTTGTATTCAATTTACAATTTGTATTTCAAAACATATACTCAACAATTATTCAGAAATTCTTGTTTTCTTGTTGTAGATTTAAGCTAGTGAGTTGGGTTTAGTGACTAAATTGAACAAAAATATTCTAGAGAAATAATTGCTTACCAACAAAGTGTTAATTAATAATAATTGTTAACTCTAAGCACAATAATATATATATATATGCATAAATAAGTTGATTTTATTTAATGCTAACGCTTCGCGTAGCCTAAAAACCTGTTCATGGCGCACTCGGCGAACTGTTTTCATATTCAAAAAACTATTCTTTTGCATCAGTCTCGCTGGCATCAGCATCGCCAGCCGCTGTTGCAATTTCAGTCTCCAACACATTCGTTGCAGTCATTGTGTTAACAACAGCATCAGTATCCACATCAACTTCCATATCAGCTTCCACATCAGCCTCACCCTCCGCATCGGTGTCAGTCGTTGGCAAGTCTTCGTGCAGCGCGCGGCGCACTAAATGCTGGTTATCTGCAGGTTAAATATAACATGCATTATTAGACATAACGGTTAACAAGAGCATAAACTGTATGGTTAGTTACCAAATTCTTCATCCTCATCGTCAGATGAATCGCTTTCGGTGCTGTCATTGCCTTGCAATGCGGATTTCGGCGTCTGTGGATGCCCTGCGTTTAGGGATAGGCGGGGCGCCACGGGTCGCTCCTTGCGTGCCGGATTAAGTACACCACAAAAGGCGCAATGAAATGTTGTATACTCATATTCCTCCAGGGGTAGCATGCCTAGAATCAAACGTGATATTGAATTGCATTTAAGCGAAAAGAGCCGCATCTCACCATTATGCCGGTGGCACTCCTTGCATATCATGCCAAAGCGATTCTGCGGACTGTCGCCTACAATAAAGTCCACAATGCGATCCAATGCGCTGCGTGAGCTCTCATCGACCACGGGAAAGGGCGTACGCCTGCGCAGCTCCTGCTCAGCACGCAGCTGCGGCGATGATAACAGTTGAACTTGCGACGACATGACGCTGCTATTTATATTGTTGTTCATATTCCGATAGACGCCCGTGTAGGGCGCCAACATGCGCTGCTGCTGCTGCTGATGTGCGACTGGAGCTGCGGGTTGCGGCGTGCGCTGCAGCGAAGATGCGTTCGATCGATTCAGATTGTTGCTACTCGGGTTGCTACGCGACGTGGTGGACAGCTGATTGCTGCTGATGCGATTATGCTGCTTATCGCCAAAGCGCTCAAGAAGATTCACTGCCACCTGCCAAAATGATAATTATAATTATTGATAGTGATAGTCGTTATCAGGGCTGCAAAGCCAAACCAATCTAAAACCAGATTTGCAATTTTTGACTCAAATCTAGAACTAGATCAATTGCCAGAAGTACAGACTAACCGAACCCAGAAGGGAATCAAGTCGTTTACAAAAATTAATTGGCTTTAATCTAAAAACGTTTGATGTAAACTTATTAATCATTGGACTTATCTAACTATATTTTAAAGGTGTCCATTTGAAGCAGAGATCAGATTTAGCTTCTATGTGTGAATAATTATAAATTATTTATCCAAATTAAGACCAATTGATTAATTCAAATGTTGAAAATAATTGATAAGCCAAGATTTCAACCAAAATCTAGATTCATTCAAGGATTGTGTTAAACCGGATATACGCAGTGAACCTGGAAACTGGCGGTAAGCTCGAGCCGTAAGCCACCGACTTATTTTTTAGTTTGCAGCCCTAGTTATTATTGCCTGGACTACGTACCTTATAGGTCTCTTTGTCCATGACCTGCTCCAATATCTTGTTTTTCTTCTGCTTCAGCTGGGCCAGCTTATCGCCATTTTTGTTGAGCTTGCGCTGAAAATACCACGTAAACATTTGACGCAAGACAACAATGCTGAAAAACAATAACAAAAATCACTTGTTAAGCATGCCGCTTTCGGTGTAATGAGATCATCAATCGGCTGGCTTTGTTTTTTTTTTCTTTTTTTGATTACTCACAGCACTGGGAACAAGAGCAGCGGCACCAAGTACATGATGCGCTCCTGCATTGTTGGCGGGAAATAGAAGAAATACCATAGCGCAAAGCCAACGATATATGCGCCAATTGTGAAGCCAACAAAGTTGCTAACAAAGCGCCTTTTGCGCTCCTGCGTATTGATCACATATTTTTCTAGATCTTGTATCTGCACTTGCAGACCCTCCAGAACAGCAGTTGTAGATTTTTCCTTCTATAATTAGAAATGCGTACGTATGTAAATGTTTTTTCTATGCATATGTAGTGCATATATGTGCACAGCGGCGCCCTCGGCGTCACTGGCTTATTGGTAATTGCAATTAGATACGTGATATTGCACTTACCCGAAATTTCGATAGAACAAAACCCATTTTATTTATTTTAAGTATAAGATGTACTAAATTAAATGACGCCTACTTAAATTTAAAAAATGTAAATATTAACTAATTTCGTGCCGTGACCCTGCTTCTGGTTGGGCTTGTTGATGCTGACTCGATATATCGATACGGCTGAAAAGTTCGTGCAATATTTTTGGCATCGCATATCGATAGTTATTAAACTAAACATTTTATTTAATTTTTTAAATGTGTTGTAAACTTTAATGAGATTTCACCGATAAGTAGGCAATTATGTACAATTTGAAACTATTTTGGATCAGTATTTTGTAAATTTGTCGCTTTAAAACACTTGTCGATTATTATTGCAGCCCTGCGGGCATCACAACAGATGAGTTACAGTTGCGCATTTTACAAAAGTAAAACAGTTAATTGCACACGAAATAAGAGATTATTTTCTGTGATAACTACCCGTTTGTATCTAAGACGCACATGAGCTGATTTCATTGTCTGCATTTAAGACTGAAAACAAAGAAAACCTGCATTTTTGTTGGGGAGCTGTCTTTTGTGTGGGAGTTGTTGCGGAACAAATTAAAACACGAAAGACGCAGATTAAGCCAGGCAGCTGCAGCATTTGGAGTGAAAATAAAATAATTTAATCATGGCCAAAATGATTTCTCAAGAGACTTTCGACGATGTTGTCCAGGAGAATGTGGTGGACTTCTCCATGAGCCCCACAGAAGCCAAGGAGGAGACTATAAAACAATTTGAAGCACAGGTGCGTATTTGCATGCGTCATCCAATTAGATTTTACTTAGTTGAATGAGTCTTGTTAACCTCAGGGCATCAACCTGGCCAACATTATCAAAGATTTGGCCATCAATGCGGAAACGGGCAAGCCCGTTATTAACGAAACTGTTGACAAAATAACAACGCACATTAACCAAGGAGGCAAGGATACGCAGCAGCTTTTGGATCTGCTTTCCGTCCTGGATGTGGAGTGCCAAAAGTCGCTGGCACATCGTGTGCTCGCCGGCAAGAATGGTGCACACAATGTGCTTACAAAACTACTCAACCAGGCGCTGACCGCCGAAACCCTGCCAACGACGCTGATATGCAAATGCCTGCAGGCTGTGAACAGTCTGACCCACAAGCAGCCCGATATATTCGATGCCGAGGCGATGGCCGTTGTGCTCAAGCTATTGGCACTTAAGGAGCAGCAGGATATCGTTTGTCTGACGCTGCAGTGGCTACAGAAAACGTGCGTCATGCACGAAATGAATCGTCAGAAGATTTTGAGCACCAGTGCCCTGAAGCTATTGAAGCCGCTGCTAGCCAAGGACAGTCCACGCGTGATGCGCGAGCTGACAGCCGTTCTGAGGTTTCTAGTGCTGGACGATGACATACGCGTGGAGTTTGGCTGTGCGCATGAGCATGCGCGCCAGATAGCCAGCGAAATGCTGCTGGATCTCGTAGAGCTGTTGCCCGCCTACGAGGATGTCAATGTGCTGGCGGATTTGCTGCTTACCATCGGCACGCTGGCCGTGCGCCAGGAGCTGTGCCTGGTCATTGACGAAGCCGGCGGTCTGAAGCACATCTTCCATATTATGAGCGAGAATCTGAAAGCGGACCGCTTAAACTGTGAGGCCTTAAAACTTTTACGCGCACTCGCCGGCCATGATGCGGTCAAGGCGCACATAGTGCAGCAGGGCGTAGCGCCCATTATTAAGGAGCTGCTGGACACGCATCAATCCAATGAGAACATTGTGACTGCCGCCTTTGCCTGCATAACAACGCTTACCCTGCGCGTGAAGGAAAACAGCACCGCCTTCTTTGACACGGGCATTGCCGAGATTATGGTCGAGGCGCTGCGCATGCATCCCAAGCACAAAATACTTCAACGCAACGGCGCCTGGGCTATACGTAATATGGTTTCACGTTCGCGCAATCAATGCGAAACATGGCTATCCTATGGCGTTGAAGATTTGCTCAATGCGGCCATGGTGGAGCATCCATCGGTGGCGCAGGACATTAAGGCGGCGCTGCGCGATCTCGGCTGCGATGTGCAGCTGCGCGAGGAGTGGACCGGCACGGCGGAAAAGAAAATTGCCGCATAGAAGGGGACCATATATTTCTACTTTTATATTCACTGCTAACTTATTTCCATACACACACACACACACACAAACTCGAAACTAACGCAACAGCACAATATTCGGAAGCTCACACAAGGTTCATCTATAAATTCATCTATATATTATGCTAACAAACTATAATTCGAAACTGAGGCAGTCTTGGCTTAAACACTTTTGGCTTATAACAACAATTCGCACTGGCTACTTGGTTAGCTTAATGTTGCGCAGCGTGCCCGCTTTGAGCCGCAAATTAACTGTCCTAGACATCGACGGCTGACTGCTCGTTGGTCTTGCTGCTGCCTCCTGTTCCTCCTCCACTGCACGCTGCGCAAATGGATCTATCTTCTCCGAACCGCCCATGCCGTTGAACGCGAAATTGGCGCTCATTGTGGCAGCCGAACTGGAGCCGCCCAGCAGCAGACGTGGCTTCTTAAAAATTGAATACTGCATGGGAGTAGAAGATGCCAATCAGTGAGTAGAACACATCTATACCTAAATACACTTGTATTACCTTTTCGCTAAGATCACTGTGGGTTTTACGTATAACGCCTGTTGCCATGCTTATGCCAGCGCCGCTTTTAATGGGCGATATTTTGGTTATGCCCATCTCTGGCGGCTTCAGCAGATGTGCTAAGCCCACGCTGCTGGACTTGATGTTCAGGTAGGGTGATGTCGATTCCTCTATGCGCTTTATGTTCTGTTTCTGTAATATGCAAACGTAGATAAAGCTTGCATATATTGTATTTTCAATATATCTGTGTACATACGGTTGTCGGCGAGATGGTGCTGCGTCGCTCCTCGCGCTTCAGTGCCACAATGTTGGTGTTTAGGCCCAACGAGTTGCTGGATGCATCCAAGTCAATTGGCTGACTTTGCAGGTTTTTAAGCTATTTGGAATGTTGTCGAAACATTTAGGTCGTTTCTTGTACATTTCGCACGGTAGCTAGCTTACCTTCTCTTGCGTGCGATAGAGATCGCTCTCTAGATGTGATATTTTCTCCTCCAGGTTGCTGCAAGGGCAAAGATTAACAATTTTTTTTCTATTTTTTTTTTCGATTCTACGTAGAGCTTCGAGTTTCTGCCTCTCACCGCTTTGAGTCCAGCTCTCTGCGCAAATCATTCTGCACCAGTTTAAGCACATTGCGCAGCTCCGTCTTTTTGGTCTCGCACTGCCGCAGCTCACGCTTCAGCGTGGACACCCAATTGGCCAGCACATGCGGATTGGCTTCGTTCTTCAGCAGACGATCAGCATCTGCGGCGCCGGCTGACAGTATGGCTGAAACGCCTTCCATTGTGTGTATTTGTTGTTTTAGACTTTTGTTCTCCTTGCGCAGCTCATCAACAACGCGTGCATCGTTTTTAAGTATACTTATTTGCTCCACATAGCCGCAGATTACGAAATCTTTCTTTTGTAGCTTCTGCTCCAGGCCGGCAATTGTTTTGCTGCAATAGAGGGGTTTATTAGGCATTTCATTGGGTTGGATAGCATATGAACCTACAGGCACTTTTTCTGCGTGTCCTTTAGATCTTTCATTTGCTGTTCGATTTTGTTATGTTCCTGCTCCTTCATTTTCATGGCTAGATTCGCATTGTCCAGCTGTTCCTGCAGCGAGCCCACGTCGATGCGACTCACGTCCAAATTGGCCAGATTGAAGTAGACACGCAATATGTTGCGTGTAGTGCACTTGTTGCGGCACTGTGGACACGTTTTGGAGCTGTAATTTGCCTTTAAAATATATATTTGTTGTTTTTAAAGGCGACGCCAGCTTACCGCTCCAGCCATTGCATGAGGCAGTTGTGATGAAACATGTGTCCGCAGATGGTAACGTAAACATCATCGGAATGCGTAAACAGTTCGGCGCATATAACACAATTTAAATTCAACATACTTAATAAACAATATAATACATGGGATAAAATGAAATGTTTAAATGGCGAAAAAACTAACACACAGCTTGCCAAAGGTTTTCGCGCGGCTTTATCAAAAATCAGCTGTTGCGGCAGCCAGCTTCAAGTGAGCTCAAATTTGCGCACAGCCAACTTCAAGTGAGCTCAATTTGTCGCGCAGCCAACTTCATGGTGGTCGACCATAGTCATGACAATTCAATGCCTGCTTTTAGGCATAAGGCCATACTATTGGTTTGTGTCTTGGCTGGCGTGTCCGTTACGCAAATTCAAAAACCATTTAAAGTTGCATGAAAGTTCAATTTTTATTTTAATTTGCAGCCAATGAAATTTACAGTAATTATAGTATAGTATTTGTTGCTTATTTTTGTTGCAGTTCAAAGTTTGACATATTTGTTATGTATACCAGGCAATAATTCCTACTAAATGCGCGCCAATTTGTTTTTTAACAAAATCATTCAAACAAAATAAGGAAATTTATAGATTTTACTCTATGCAATTTTTTAATAAGTGTAGGTGTTACGAATTATTACTTGATATAGAACAATTAATGCCACCTGTAATACTGCATATCTATTGAAAGTTTTTCTTGGGTTTATTTTGTTGTTGATATCTAGTTTAGTTAGACATAGATCGGTAAATTCTTAAAATGCTAGTTCAAGATTTCTTTTTGATTTTAGTTATGATTTTTTTTTCTTTTTAAATAGTTTGTTTATTAGTTAGGGTAGTAAAACATTTGATTTCAATTGTGATATTGTTGTTTTTCGTTCACTTAACTCGAGCTTTTTAACTAGCATATGTTTTAAGTATATTGAGTTTTTTACTTGAAGTTTATTTATATTAATTTTTGTATTTTTTTTGCTAATTACGTTTTACCCATTTTTCCCGAAAGTAGTTTGCTTTTCAATAATACACGTGGCTTGTTGCTGACTTTTTACATAAATATGCCACCATTTTTTTGCACCCTTAAGCAATTAATTGTTAATTATTAATTTAATTTAATAAATATGCCATATTCAAAGAAATCCATGACATTCGCTACCAACTTGCTTGGCATTAAAAATACAACAGTTTTTTCTCTTGTTTTTTTTTGTTTTTTTTTTTACATGTAATTTAACTAGCATTTTCTTTAACAATAGGTTTAAATTGCATTTAAACATTTACATTCAATTTATCTATATGAATAATACAATAGGCAATTAAGCTAATAGCCAGACAATAGTTAACAAATATTTTAGTTTTAACTTAAATTCTAACTGATTTTATACACACTTAACATAACGCTCTAGTGGGCTTTGCTATATCGTATATATGGTATATATAGATATAGATATAGATATAGATTCAGTATGCTCGGGTTCAGTTATAACGATTCCAAAATGCCCTATGCCAAGCTTTATTAACTATATTTTTTAGCATATTTAAATTTATTTACTTAGTTCTAAAATGTACACGAATCGAAAGTTTTGTTGCATAGTTTTTTTTTTTGGAAGTAAATTTCGCTAGAAATTTTATTTGTTGCTTATTTACTAAATAATTCTAAATAATCATAGCTAATTAATAACAATTTCGTATTTTGATTACACAGTTTGTTCAACTTTCGTTTTTTCTCTGACCACAAAAAAAAGCACAGTTTCCAACAGTTTCTTGGCCTAATTACAATCTTAATGCTTCGTTCCTTAAAGGTCTTAATTATTTGCATAATTAACATTAAATTTTAAACACATTTAGCTCAACTTATTTACACTTATATTGTATTTATATTTATTTATATATATTGTATTTATATTTATTTATCTATATTTATCTGGTTCGCTGCCTTCTAGCTACTATATCATTCTTGGTATACATGCTTCTTGTGAGTCCTGGTGTTCTTCTTCTTCTTCTCCTTCTTCTTCATCTCCTTCTCCTTGTATTCTCTTTCTTCTTATTTTGAACGAAGAGGCAAAATCTCTCGCCCTCTTAGCAGAAACGCCTGAAAAATAGTTGTTGGTTGCACAAATCTCATTAGTTAAAAGTTTATACTCTTCTTTTTATAGGCTATTATAATTTTGTGATGAATTATGTAACGCATGGAATATATTTTCGATATTTATATATATTCGGTATATATATTCTTTATATATGTTCTTTATATTCTTCATCAAAAGTCGAGTCCATATACCCAAAGCAAGTGTCTCAGTTGTAAAGCTTTTCATATTAAACTTTGCATAGGTCGCGTTTCTTTCCATTGCAGACAGTACAAAAGACGTGTTTCGATTTTTCGCAAAGTCAAAGCTTCCTAGGTGGAAAGTGCGATTCTAATACTGTGAAAATGGTACCCTCAAATATCTAGACATAGGTCGAAATTTCCCACCCCCATAACTCGGCCAAATCTCATCCGATTTTCACGAGGTTTGGCTTTTTGTTCATTGTCATGAAAATGTTACCCTCATAAATTCTATATAGACATAGGTCAAAATTTATCGCCCCATAACTCGGTCGAATCTCATCCGATTTTCACGAGGTTTGGCTCCTTGTGCATGGCTTGACTTTCAAATCTCTTCATAAGAAATTAATGAATACGTGTTTCAGTGGTTTGGGGAATTTTGCCCGCAACAGTGGTAAATTGGCTTACTGTCCGATCGGTTTCATACTCATATAGCTCTAGAGGAAGAATCGGTTGTTTTCTGTTTCCCAAAATATTTGCAATCACGGACTTCACACTTCTCAGCAATTATCTGCAAAACCATAGCCCAAATTTATTAAAGGGTATTCAGTCTACGGCATGCACAAGTTTCTCCTTCTTTTTATTCGGGCATTCAAAACTTCCGCAAATGCAAAACAGAAATTTCTGTAAATTAATGTTACTTAATTAAACTTGTTGGCAATGCGTAAATGGAACAACTTTAACTGCTGCCACGGCCAGCTGGCTCGGAGCTGGGCAACTGCTCAAATGCAAATGGCTAACTCTAGCCGAAGGTCTGGCCTGACCGGGCGGGCGGCTGGCACGCTTTGAAGATAAGCCTACGACGATGTGCGGCATAATTCGAATGGCCCTTTCGGCGCCCCATTAGACGTTATCCGTTCGCCGCATTGCAATGGCCAACTGATTTTAAACGGTTTTCGCATGCAGATGACAGCACTGATAAAGGGATGGGGAAGGGGGTGGTGGGGGTGGTTTGTGTGGGCTGATAAAACTTTCACTTTGGCCCACAGAATTTGAGTGGAATGCGACGAAACTTTGCCCGTGCTTCATGGCTAACAAATTGTTTCAAGCGTTGCAAGCCATAGAAAACTGGCAACAAAGCGTTGCCAATTCGAAGCTGCGAGTGTGTGGGTGTGTGTGTGTGTTGGTGTGTGTGTGTGCCAGCGGCTGTTTCCCATGGCCAGCGTGTCGTGTGTTTTGTAAAATTGGGCGCCCAAAGCGAAGACGACGACGACGACGTTGACAACGAAATTCAAAACACTTTGAACACTGCAGCAGCAGCAGCAAAACAACTGCAGCAGCAGCAGCAACAATAACTGCAGCAGCAGCAGCAACAGCTCAAACAAATGCTAAGCAATATCAATTTCGGTATGGAGCATTGCAAATTGAAACTTGTGAGCGCGAAATTGAAAAAAATATATTAAAGAAAAATAACTGCAAGAAATAGAGAGAAATTGCAATTGCAATTGGAATTGCATTTACAATTGCCAAAGCGGCATCAATTTCCCTCAGCTTGTTCAATAATAATTTGCAGTTAAATACAAATGTTTTTTTTCCCCTTTTACATAATACACACACACACACACTTACCTTCGCCTCTTCGCATGCACTATCTAGAGTTTCCCGCTGCGATAATGCACCGGTCGGTGGCCGCCAAAGAGTATGCGCTTGAAGGCCTGTCGGAACTCGGGGCTGAATATCGTATAGATGACCTGTAATTAAAAAGAAGTTTATCGTAAGTTTCCCATTCGAAAGCTTCTTTTAAAATATATAAATTGCTTTTGTATTTGGTTTATAACAAATGAAATTGAATTGATTTTGTTTTTGGGAAAAAACACCAGAAATGACGTGAAAAAAGCTAGATTCGCAGCATTGTTAAGCACGTGCCTGCAAAAAGGACGCTTACGACATTTGCATTTGCACGGCTCGTTAGAAAAGACTTTCCCTTTTTTCTTTTAAAACGCCAAAACTGAAGAAAGTATCTAAATTGTCAAAACTGTTAAGCTGTGTAAAGCTTGACCAAATATTATATACTTTTTGCTCTTCAAAAAGCTATAACTAACTAAAAGTAGCTCATTTACCAACACTGTTAGATTTTAGGGGCTGTAAAATAAGCTTTTTTCTCTATGCGTTTTCATAAAAAGCTTATTTGACAACACTGTTAGGCTGCAAGGTCTGTAAAAAAGAAACTTTTCGCCTTTTCACTTCAAAAAATCCAAAACTTAAGTGCAAACAGCTAAATTGTCCAAGCTGTTAATCCCAATGGCTTGAAACAAGCTCAAAAAAGCTAAAAATTGCCCCATTGACAACACTGTTAACCAGTGAAGTGCTTGTGAGATAAGAATTCAGTGTTGTTTAAAGATGTAATTTGTCAAGCAGTACTAAATATCCATATCGATAAGTGCTGATAAGCGAGACAAGTTTACAGCAATCTGGCAACTCTTTGACACAGCTCGATAGCTTTCTTTCAAATAGACAAGCTCAAGCTAGGAGCTGACAACGCGCAAAGAAAATAATACAGAAACTGCGAGTAAGTTGCAATAGATGAAATGAAAGTAAATTTAATACAAATGAACACAAATAAATCATAATTTAGCATTATGAGCGCCGCAGATAACAATGAGAAGCCAACAACCAGCAACGCAGCCGCAGCATCAGCCGCGGGCGGGGGCATGGATCGCAAGCGCTTCAATGTGAAGAAGTGGAACGGGGTCGCGCTCTGGTCCTGGGACATTGTCGTTGACAACTGCGCCATTTGTCGCAATCACATTATGGATCCGTGCATTCAGTGCCAGGCGAATCAGTCGACCAACAGCGGCATCGAGTGCACCGTCGCCTGGGGCTCCTGCAATCATGCCTTCCACTTCCATTGCATATCGCACTGGCTGAAGACACGTCCCGTCTGTCCGCTGGACAATCTCGAGTGGAACTTTGAGAAATATGGTCGCTAGTGCCTTGTAATGTTCCCCAAATGAGCGAAATGATAATATAAATGTCTGTGTGTGTGTGTATGTTGGTGTATATATCTATCTTACCGGATTCAGCGTGGAATTAAAGTAGCCCAGCCAGAGGAAGAGGGAGGCGACGCTGTCGCTGATCTGGCAGGCGGCGCAGAGCGGCATCGTCAGGGCCATCACAAAAAATGGCAGCCAACAGACGACAAAGGCGCCGGTGATGATGGCCAATGTTTTGGCCGCTTTCCTTTCGCGTTTCGCCTCCAGCGTCTCCTTGCGCTTGTTCACCTTCTGCATGGGATTTGCTATGCTCGACAACTGCTGCGGCGGCGCCGGGTGTGGATGATGTCCCGGCTGATGCTGCTGCTGATGTTTGGTGCGCGGTTCGGGTGTTACCGCACCGGAGGCATTTGCCGAATTGCTGCACAACGGATGCGCCTGGTTGCAGCTAGTCAACGTGCTCGTCTTTGCTGTCATCGGTCCGGCGGCGGCGGCGACGGCGGCCCCTTGTGTTCCAATGGCTGGCGATGTTGGTGTTTGCGGCGATATTGCTGATATCGATGTAATTGTTGTGGCATTCGATGTGCTGGCGCCTCCGCCGCCGTTGCTGCCGCCAATTTTAACAGTTTTTTGTAGCTGCTGCATTTGTTCCAACTGCTGTTGCAGCTGCGGATCCTCGAGCACTTCAACCGCGGCGCCACCATTCCCATTGGCCTTGCCCGTCGGCGTTGTTGCTGCCGCTGCCGCTGCTCCTGCTGCTGATGTTGCGGTTGCGGTTGCCACTGCCTCATCCCCATCCTCCTCCCGCTGCTGCTCGTTCTGCTGCTGCTGCTGCTCGTTATCCTCCTGCTCCGCTTCGCTGTCCGCTTCCGTTACATTTACTGGCTGAGCTCCAGCTGCTGCTGCTTTTGGTTGCTTGGCGCTGCTGCTGCTGCTGATGCTGGCGTGCTGCTGATTGGCCAGCGCCACCAGGTGCGAGACGGTGGCTATTTGGCTGCCCGATGTGCTGGGCACCTGAAAATAAGAGCAAGTTTAAGCTGGTTAGCACCTGCAAACTGATTTTGAATCACTTCGACACCTTCATCCTCATTTATTTGTTAACTATGATGTATCGTCAAATGGGTTTGGTTTCAAGTTGAAAACGTTTGACTTCTTGGTACCCAAAGCATAAATACTGTAGTGCTCCATAGGATTTATCTTTCTATACTTAGTAGTTGCCAATTTCAGTTGGAGATCACATTTAGCCCGCAAATTCTAGGTGAAAATATCTGACAATGTTTTCAGTTAAATGCGCAATTATAAATCAAAACTTTGGTATACTTTTGTAGAGGGTATTTATAATGTGTAAAGCATAGAAGGAGACCTGCAGCCACGAAGTATATATGTATATATTCTTAATGGCATTCGAGTTGATATAATCATGATCGTCCCCCTCCGTGTGTCCTCCTGTTTGTTTTTAGTCTAGTCTTCTAGTCTTGTGACTCTCGTCTTGCAATTTTGCATAGGTTTGTCTTTCTATTGCAAACTGTACGTATGTCGAAATTTAACTTGTTTTTTTAGGAAGATATTATGACCAAACCCAGTATTTCCTAGATTCACTATGCTGCTTATATATGACCCAAGTCATATCATTGTATTTTCTCTATGGAAAAAATCGATCGGAAAATGATTTTTTATATGGCAAAATACTCTGTTAACTGTTATTTTTACCCAACTCAGCACTTACGAGCTTGATTATTCTCATATCTGCCAATCCGTAAGGCAAAGGTTTACAAGTGTATTAAATCTTCGGTGTGCGGCATAAAGCCGTCAATTCTCGCTTTGTCGCATATTCCAATCAAAACCTAGCTTCAAGAACGTGCAAAAGGCATTGAATTGGTTCGTAGCGTGAATCGAACCAGTTATTTCTTTTCTTGTGGCTTGCTGTCATGGTTAGCAGTCAATTTCATTTGCCAAATTAGCATTTCAAATCTGTGCTCGCCACACACACACACACACTCGCATAAATCACAAACTCCAATTGCATTCATAAATTTATTTAGTGCTGTGCACCCTTCCCCTCCCCCAACACATACCCGCACAACGTGCCCCCGCCACGCCCTTTGGCTCGTCAATTTTCATGGGCTTTTTATGCCACACAGTTGTGTGGTTATAAATTTTCCAAATAAATAAAATCGCTGGGCAAATATTTATTTACGTTAAGCTCGTTGCGCCAGAACCCCCCGCCACGTCTCAGTTTTGGCCACGCCCATGCTATTAACCCACTATCCCACAGGCAGGCAGTTAGACGGACGGCCCACGACGGCAGTCAGTCGTGGGTTGGCGGCACTTGGTCAAAAAGGGCTACAACAATTTGTCGAGACTTGAGCAGAGGCTGCTAACGGCATGTCCTAGGCACTAAAATTCATATAATCACCTGTAATTTGAGCCAGCAGTGTCCATGTCCATGGCCACATTATGTGCAGAAGCGTAAAGTGCTAAAATCAACTTTTATGTGTTATAAATTTTGTCCACCCACCCCGCTCTGTGCGAAAGACGTACGAGTTACTGCACAGGTGGCGCGCGCGTTTCTTTTGCTAGAGATGGGATAAACAACGATGCGTGCTGCGATATCGGTTGCGTGTCCCGTTTCGATAACTGGCAACTGACTGAGGAGTTCGATAACAGCTTGAAGTGTATCGAAAGTGGAACTTTTCAATTATCTTAAAGAAATGTGCTTATACTGGCCAAGATTTGATCAGATTGGATATAAAGTATCCTCATATCAGAAAGATGTTATAGAAAGTGGAAACTTGCTCCTTAAAATAACCTCAAAGAAATGTTCGGAGAGCTTCTTCCTTTCAGTTTATAACTGCTCGTTGAGTATCGAAGGGGACATTTTGAAATTATCCTTACGAAATGTGCTTAGCTTTTAAATAAAGTTGGGCTATGATCTTCGATTAAGAAAGCTTATAAAGGGAGTTTATTCTTATAGTCGACAGCTGTTAATTCTTTATACTTTTCACAATTTGCATTTTATTGCTGTGTTAAATATGCTTGTAGATATGCTGAGCGAAGACAGCTTATAAACATTTGCAAGATTTTAGCCGATAGCTTCTAATAAAAAGTTTCTAAAGGGATATTTATTTTATCTTATATATTTTTAATAGCCAGAATCTGTTTAAAAGTCGCTCAAATTTGTCACTTCTTTCAATGTGTTTAACTAAATCATTTCCCAGTCCTATTTCAATGTCCGACTAAGCCAAACATGGATTTCGGCGAATTCACTGAGCGGAATGTTGGAATGAAATAGGCGCTTAAAGGCTTAAAATATGTGTCCCTCTTTTTCTTTGTAATAAGAGTAAGAGCTTGTGAAACCCGGAAACTCGCACAGATATCGCTCGTCTCTAATTTCGACTTGGTCTCTTTTTGGGAGCCTGCAGACAATTAATGGGCCGCACGGATACGGCGCCAAATGAATTTTATGACTTTGATTCCATAATATATTGCTGGTTGTTATAAGCGTGTAATTGATGCGGTGCCTTTTCCAAGCACAAAGCAACAACAACAACAGGAAAAACATTTAAATTTGTGGCGCAAAATGAAAAATGCATTTTCAATTTGCCAACAATGAAGAGAGAGCCAGAGAGAGAGCGAGAGAGAAAGAGAGGGCAAGTCAGGAACCACACTGGCCATGTCAGTAAAGAGATATACGTATAGAATTCACAATGGCCATTGGCCAAATTGTACATTTTCACACAAAGGAAGCGAGAAGCAGCATATGTAACCTTAGCTATGGCCATTGTCAATGCCAATTGTCCGTTGTGTTCGTTGTCGGAGCACAAACAAATGTTGCAGCAGTGTTCGATTTCGTTTTGGTTTCATTTCGATTCGATTCGATTCGATTTCTTCTTTGACTGCGAACAGAAGCATTTTTAATGTTGCCGCACGTAAAGCAAATCAAAGCAACTGCAAAACGGTCGGCAAATCCAAATGCGAAACGTATTTTCACATTTACCGTCCGCAACAATGCGAATAATGAGGGCGCGTTCCATTGGCTTCGCTCACGGTGTGCGGGTGTGCGGGGGCATGGGGCATGTTGAATATGACAACAGTTGGAGAACAGTTGAAAAGTTGCTGCTAAAACTTGAAGATTACGCATACGCCGCATGGGCCAGCTGCAAGTTTTTGCCCGGCAACTTTTAATTTGAAGTGGACTGCGTGCGCGGTCGGGTGGGGCTTTGCAAACACGCCAAAAACCAAAAACCGAAAACCAGAAGCCAGAAACCAAAAGCCCTAAACCAAAAACAAACACAACTACAAGCCGAAGAAGTCAGCCAAAGTGTAACAAATACACCACACACACACACACACGCCCAGCTAATATTTTATTTATGTGCATTGACCACCCCTACTTCTCCAGCGCACACTTTGACTTATTCGCCGCAGCCCCCCGCCCCCCCTACTCGGCATGCATTTAAGTGAAGTGTATATTTGTTTCAATTTATTTTGCAGGCACCACTTGCGCCTGCATTGACTTATTGTTTTTGTTTCCAATTTGTTTCAGTGAGTGTATTCTTAATAGCCCTGCACGCGGCTTATTAGCTTTGCCAGGCGCTTTGCGGGGTTTAGTAGAAGCTACAACTTCCATTGGGTTTCCTGCAAGTGCTTAAGTAATTGTTGCTGTTAAGAAGATTAACGGCAGGGATATATAAATAAAATAGATATCTCAAACAAAGCGCAATAAAAATATATAAATAAATATACAGCATGTTTGAGCACTAAAAGTATTTTACGTTAAAATATTGCAAATAGATATTGACAATTTACAATTTTATAGTTAAATGACACTAGTTGAGAATTGAACTAGACTAGAAGAACTAGAAGCCAGTGTTGTGTAGTAATCACAATAAGTTTGCAGCTTCTAAAACAGCTTTTAAAAGCACATGAGAGCTTTCAATGAGCTTCGGGGTTTGCATAAAACCAGAGTGTAAAGTTTAATAAATACTTTGGAACATGTTTTAAAAGCTTTTCCATTTACAAAATAACTTCGATTAAGCCTTAAGCTTTAAGCTACTTATATTAATTATGTTTAAGCTAAACACTTGACAACACTGTTCTAACCTTTAAAGATATAAAAGCAAATACTGAAATTTCTTTTTGATTTTTTTAAAAGCTTTCAACACTCACTTTTATTGCCAAAATCAAACTTCTCGCCGCCTTTTCAGCTGGTGTCATTTTGAAGAACTACGCATTGCAATTATTTCTGCAATTTTAAATGCAATCTGGTTTTTGATTCATGTTCAATTAAATGCATTCCCAGTCGTATTAAAACGCAATTTGTTTTTGTTAAATTGCCGTTTTATCGTCTCGGGCTTTTTGAGTATTCATGTATATACATATATAGAAGCTGCGGTGCAGTTTGTGCTAACAAGCTCCTTTAGTTTTGATATCCTGTACTTTAAAGGGTGTTATAAGGGTATATTAATGCTGTATAGAAATGTATGCCTGTCAAGGCTGCAGAAATCACCTACGTCCACATAAACCATAAATATTTGTTTATCTAGCTATGTCCGTCTTTCTGTCTATCTAATCTCGTTCGTTTTAGGTACTAGTAAAGTTGGCAACGTGAAATTTGACATATATAATGTTTATTGTATAGCATACGCAAGACTAGTATCTCAATTTATATCGATATCTTCTCCTATTTCTGTAGTATCGATTAATATCGATTTTGGGACTTGCTTTTTTAAAATAACTACAAATACACAAGAGCTAGATAAACCAAACCTGTTTCTTATAGTGTCTTTCGTATCTCGCCTATCTATCATATCTCTCGTACCTCTCTCATATTTCTTGTCTCTCTCGTACCTCTTGTATCGTATCTCCCGCACGTATCGTATCTATTGTATCTCTCGTATTTTTTGTATCTCTGGTATCTATCGTATTTCTCGTATCTCACATATCTATCACATCTCGCGTATCTCTCGTATCTTTCATATAGTGTGGGCAATGTGAAAGAAGAAGCACAGCCTTGTTTGCATTTGTGAGTGTGTGCGTGTGTATTTATGTCCAACAGGATGCTAGAATGTTTTTATAGCCAGCTCAACGCTGCTTTAAGGGTGTTTTATCGTCGGGCATGCTCGACTGAAGCAGTCCTGCTTTTTCTATATATTTTTTTATTTTCATTTTAGTTGTTGCTTTTTTGTTTGCTTTAGCTCATGCGTTTGGCTCTTGCCTATATATTAAGCAAAACTACTATGATAAATTTATATATTTGTTTGTGGCTAGGCGTGTGTGGTGTGTGTGTGTGTGTGTGTGTGTGTGTGAGTGTGTTTATTTATTTGGCTGTCCACTTATTTGGCGCACACACTGAGGAACCTGGCCCAAGTAAATATTTAATCTGCGTGCGTGTGTGTGTGTGTTTGCTGGCCAGCAAAGGCAAATACGAGACGCAGTTGGTTTCTCTCAGTTATTAGGGGCAAACGAATGGAAACGAAAGCTGTTAGCCATAAGCCATCAACATATTTTCTTCAATTACTCAAGCGTATTGAGTGCCTTGTTAGGCCACGTTTTCAGCTCCTGTTGCTGCTTTCTGTCGCCCATATTGTTGTTGCTGCTGCTGCTGCTGCTGCTGCAGAGCTTTGTTTTCATTTGACTGAAACTGAGATGCTTTGCATGGTGCTGGCTCTGAGTGCGACTGCGACTCGGACTCGGACTCAGACTCCGACTCAGCCTCCGTCGTATCCTTGTCACAGAGCTTACATTTGACTTAGCTATTACTTAACCTGCACAAACCGTTGCGACCTTTGGCCGCTCGACTTTTGGCCACCTTGTGGCGATGCCAAACCAAACGTTCAAGCAATTTATTTTGGCCTGACTCTTTTATGGTTTCGTATTGCTTTGATTTTCGTGCCTTTTCCCCTAATGCGTGTGTGTGTGTGTGCTTCCCGCTGCTTATTTTTTAGCCATAAAAAAATAAGCTGAAATTGAAGTACATAAAAACTGCCTGCTAAATACAAATTTGGGCTGCCAATAAACAAACAAACACAAAAAAAAAACAAGCTTTTGCGCCCTGCATTTTATCGCCCACATTTGTGTCGTGTGTGGGTAATTTGCAGGCTTTCGACTTAGACGTCGGCTTATATATGCTTATGGCATATTAATAAATACAATCTACATGCATTTTGGGCTGCAATAAAAAATAAAAACCCAAATGCGCTTGTCTCCCTGCCTTTTTTTGAGCTGCTGACACACGCGGCGTATACGTGATATCCTTAGTGATATTAAAAGAAATCGATTTATGCGTGCATAAATCAAATGTCTGTCGTCGAACTTGATGTTTAGCTAACGACATGTGCAAGTTTCTATTTGGGATTTAACGGGGATTACGCGCACAGGACATGGACTGGACAAGGACTTGATTTCATTCGCTCTGCGCTGCGTGCACTCAGGAAGCAAACTCAGATCGTTGGGCACATGTCAGGCGTTATGAAATTTGCTTTCAATGCGCACAGCGCCCCCGAAAAACCAATTCGAAAATCCAAATTCCCTGCTCCTGTTGTTGTTGCTGTTGTTGTTGCTGGGCACTTACCTCGATGCCGGCGCGACTCTTGCTGTCCACATTCGAGCTACTGAACTCGGTATCCTCGACCGTGTTCACCGTGTTCGTGGAGTTGCCCTCAACCAGGCCCAGGGCTGTGGTGCCGGCCGCTGCACCGCTCTTATTCTTGGCCGTTGAGAATCTGCCAAGACGTAGCCGCAGACGATTAAGTTTAGTATCTGTTGTGGTGCTGGTCGCGGGCTGCAAAATGAAAAATGGAGAGCATGGTAAAGGGCTGCTTTTAGCTTGAGCTGCTACTCGATTTTGAGTAACGAAATTAAATTCATAGTTTTTTTTTTTTGTTCTGTTTCGCACAGCATTAAAATGTATAACAAGAGTTGCAAATTTGTATTTGTTGTTGTTGTTGTTGTTGTTGTTGCGCGTCACGCTTCAATAAACCGCAATTTGTACGCATTTCAGAGTCTGAGCTGAGCCCAAGCTGATCCCGTGCGTTGCCTTTACCATATGCATATGTAAGTGGATACGTTCGTAAATAAATTGTGTATATTTGTTACAGTCACGCCACACAGTTGCACGGCTCCACAGTGCCACAGTGCCACAGTGCCACAGAAGCCGGAGTGGCACTTCCATATACCCAAAATATTCCGCCACCCAAAAGCTACAGCTACAGTGCCTGCTCAAAATAAATTTCACGCTTGACTGCTTCAAGCGCTTGACCTCTTTGATTTTATTTTTTTTTTTGGATTTTTTTATTTTCTTATGGCTGCATCCTTTTCTCATTCTTTTGCTGCCTCTTGCCCCGCCGCAATTTTGTGTTGTTGTAGTAGTTGTTGTCGTCGCCTTCAATCCCCACCAAATTAAAGTAATTGAGTAGTCAAACCTTTTGCCTCATCGTCAACGCTCTCGTCATTGCCATGTTGACCCTTTGGCAAGTCGATATTGCTTTAAATAAATAAAATTATGCTGATTTTGCGTTCGTGTGCGGAAATTTGTCCAGAAGAAGAAAAAAAAAATGAAAGAAAACCCCGCCAAGATGTAGCGACAGCAGATGAGAAAAAAAGGGCTTGAATTGTTTGTGTGCCTGGTCATGCCCTCTGCCGCATGCCCCATCAGTCCCCACTTCAGCACTCCCAAATGGCGTGAATATTTGCGCAAATAGTATTAAATGGATTTGCAGCTACGCATGTGACCTTCATTTTGTGGGCAGGACAAGAAGTGTAATTGCTTCGTCGCATGCCAAGCCCAAAGTGCTACGTTTCAAGTGCCCACCTTAAAGGGACTGCTAGCCGAGAAGAGGAAGAGCGCCAAGGGTCAGCTTATTAAATATTTAGAGACAGATGCTTAATTAGACAGCGTTTCAGGTGCAAACTAATCCACCGGGAGCTGACGGCTATTAAATTGACGTTGGCTTTTGTTAGTTATTAGATAATCAACATTTTTAGTTACCTGTCAAAAATCTTGATTTACTTGCTGCTAGAGATGAGCGCGTGTCGTGTTTCTTTCATGTGACATGCACGCGTCGTGCTCGTGCTTAGAAGTCAGACATGGTAGGGGGGACTGAAAAGTTCTTCACAAAAGCTAGATCTAACGCGCCGTAGCATAACGAGAGGTTAAAAATGCATTACCCGACTTAACACGACTTTTACCTGCCTTTTACACAACTTTTACACGACTTTGACACGACTTTGATACGAATTAACACGATTTGATATGACTTGCAGCTAATCAACACGACTTACGCATCATTAAATACGACGACTGATTAGTCCCGACCTAAAGCGATTAGACATGACTTAACATCATTTTAAAATGAATTGACACGACTTGACACGAGGCTAAACGACTTAACACGAGTAGGCACGACCGGACACGACTTAACACGACCAATTAAGAGCGCATGACACAACACAACCACAAATTAAAGGTGAAAATGTAGACATTGCATACGATAATGTGGAAATATTACAAGAATAACAACAATTTCCTGTTGCAAAAGTTTGATAGGCATCAATCTGTAGTCAAATACAGTACATAAAAACTAAGCTCTCAATATTTTAGTTCCAAATCCAAATTGGATTGTTATTTCCCAAATATTGCGAAGGCAAACTTCTTCAGCTTTGGCCCTGGGCTCATTCAGGCAAATCAACAATTTGGGGGCCAACTTAAATGCGTAAATCCGTTAACTTTTCGCATTTTCACGTAACAATTTGCCGCAGCCAAAAAAAATATAACTGTAATAATCACATTTGTACGCAATACGCTAATTGAATTTGCGTTCCGTTTCGCCTGCTTGAGATTGCGTATACGCAGCGTTGGCGTCGGGCGTCGGGCTTGATGCCATGCGGGCAATCAATGCGTAATTGAATCGCTGATAACTTCAAAGACACTTACGTATACAAACACGCACACACACTCGCACACACACGCATTGTTTGCCAGTTGGTGTGCCATGAAATTGCTGCGCTTAACAATTGGCGAAAAAGTTGTTCGTGTTGCTCGCGCGCTTAGCCATAAATTCCCTGGATTCCCCTTTGGCATTTGCTTAGATCGAAAACTAAACAACACGGCACATTAACGTTATTTAAATACTAAAGTAAACGCACACACACACACATAAGCACTGACACACGTATAGATAAGCTGGCCTGTATTCCCTGTGCAGTAAAGTGTAGCATACTTTTCAGCAGCCTCGATGAGGAGCAAAACCCAGCTCAATGTGTATTTTATGTAGATGTGCCTGTCAGCTGTCGTTATGTATATACACACTCCTCCGTCTGTGTGTGTGTGTGCGTGTGTGTGCACATTTATTTAAGCGTTTGCATAAACGATACTTGGCCGAAGCCATTTTGCCACTTTGGCTAATTTATGTAAATTGTTTTCTTATTTAATTGTTTTTCTTGCGAGACATGTGTTGAGCTTCATATCACTGTGTGTGTGTGTGTGTGTGTGTCTTTGTCTTTGTCTATATGTGTGTGCGTGTGTGTATCCAATAATTTCCTTACATGCGATTTATGCTGCCCAAGATATCGCTCAAGTGCCTGACAAAAAATGTTTGGCTATGAACTACACTGTGCAACAAACTTTTGTTGTGTATCTATACAAAATTGTTTATGTTGATTTAAGATTAAGTTTTAGAGTTAAAACTGCAATTCTTTTGTATTTAAGAGCGAAATTTTCAATGCTCATCATTTGTTATACTTGTTTTTATGCAACTTTTGAATTTTGTCCCCATGTAGTACAGTGTAAATGTGGCTGCTTTCGATGGATATATAAAAGAGGAAGAGCAGAAGAGCGCAACACAACTTGCAGACGTGTGTGGCATATGGACGACTTTGCCGAAAAATCTGCCCAGCTTTGCTGCGTAGCCTGCTAATGTTCGTCCTGGCTGTTTTGCTGTTTGTCATATGGTCCTGGTCATAATGTCAATATCTAGAGCAATCAATTTGAGCTGCTGTCGCTGCTGTCACTTGTTGTTCTTGTTGTTGTTTGCAAATGTAATTGTGATTATGTTCGAGTGGTCAAGGCGGGCGCAAACAACAACACACACACACAATACACACAAACAACGGTCTTCAGTGCTCTTGAGTGCAAAACATCTGGGCGTTGTTGTCAGCATCACTTGGTCAAGAGGACACTCCAAAGACCGATTGCTTTTTGTGTTTAATGTTACATTATTATTAATGTTTGCCGTTGTTGCTTTGGCGTGGCATGTGAGGCATGTGGCATTAGTCGCACAGCCAAATTACACATAATACCTGTACGCTCAATTTGCTTAATTGCCTTTTACTATCATGTATTATGTTAATTACAAAATCAATGCGTACAAATTTACAGTGGGCAACTATTGAACGTTTGCTTATCAGAAATAAATTAATTTTAAAGCGTGGTTTAAGGCATCAAAAGCATATTGAAAACTACGTTTTCTAAAGATTATTTATTCACTTTACCTTGAAAACAACTTTTTTGTTCAATTTCTTTAACATACCCAAGAACTCTAATTAACAGCTGTTAGCTTAACAGCTTATGTTAAGTCAATAGCTGTTTGTATTTAAAATTTTAAATATTTCATTATATTTATTATTTAAAATGGCATTCAAAACAGATTTTTTTTTGCAACAGGTAGTCTCTATTAAGCCCACGGTGCAAAGTGCCTGAAATTGTGTCAGTTATGTGTGCATTTGACTACTTTTCTGATCAATGCCAGCTGCATTTCAATTAAAATTACGCACATTAATGCTAAATTATGTGCTAAGCCTCGTGTCGATATGCCACATTTCTGGAATTTTATTAGTTTATGCAGTTTAAATCATTTGCAGGCTAACAAATTTGTTAGCCATCCGCCAGTTGTTGCCAGTTAGCACTTGGAGCTTAGAATTGGCCATAAACATGTTAAATGCAAATGCAATTAACTAAAATTTATGGGCTGCCAGCGAAACAAAAATAACAACATTTTTGTACACGTTCTTGTATCCAAATATCCAAAACTTTGCTACAACAAATCTTTATTAAATACAAGAAAAAAAAAGGAAAGAAATATTGGAACAAAGCGCGCAACGGGCGAGCTGCGGAATGCGCTGTTGTTGTTCTTGTTGTTGTTTGTTAGTATAAACCCTCGTCAAGTTGCAGGAAAGCAATTTTCAATTTGAAAGCATTTAGTTGAATAAAAAAGGAATAACAAGAGAATAATTCGATCGCAGCAGCAAGCCGTTGTCTAAATGCTCTCTCTTAGCCATAAAAGGGGATTCGAAATACTCGGAAGAGTTGAAAGACAGATCTCTTAGTAAATATATTCTCATAAGTCGATCAAACCTGGGCACACTTTTATGTTTAAAAGCTCATTAAAGCTTTGAACTAGGTTAAATGTAAAATGCTCATAACCGAAAGCGTACTTGGAGCTCAATTAATTATAAACTGTTACAATGTGGTAAAACTGTCGCGAATGTAGACTTAAGCTGGAGTTAATAAGCTGAAGCTTACTTAAGACTCAAAGCTCGGCATACTGCTTCTTTCTTTTTTATATTTTTAGGCTTTTAAAGCTTTATAGGTTCAGTCTGCAAATGAAAAACATTTTGAAGCTCATGGTAGCTTGGCATAAGATAAATTGATTGTAGTCTATAAAAATAATCTCAATTTTAAGTGAAAGCGCATTAGACACTATCAACTCACGCTCTTAACTCCTTTTGCTCACGCTACTATTGCTTTATTAATTATGTTTTCATTGGTTTTTAATGACTTTAAAGTATTGTGAGTTAAGAAAAATCCCATTTACTTAAACAAACTAGCTCCCTTAGTGCATAAGCTCGAGGTTAGGGCATCAAAATGCCTGCGCTGAGTGGGGTAAATATATTTTAAAATCAACAAGCAGGCCAGGCCAGTGAGTGGCACTAAATGGATGCGTGTAGCAGGCTATAGATGTGTGTCTGTGTGTGTGTATGTGTTTGCCTGCGTTGCTGTGCTGGCATTGGTATTGGCATGCGCCTGCTGACATGTAACTAACACACACACAGACACATACACAGGCACACAGAAGAAGCAACATGGGCCGGACATGGCTGGGACATGTGTACGCTGGCAAATAGTGGACAACTTGTCTTGTTTGCGCATTGAATTTGTGATTCCAATGACTTTTTGTCAGCTTCGCACTGGCCTGTGCGATTCCCCTGTTTGCGTATGAGTGTGTGTGTGTGTGTGATGTGTGCAAAGGGTGTGGGTGTGGGTGTGGGGGTAAGTGTAAGTGTATGTGTGTAGGTAAGTGGTTGCAAACATTTCCACGTCAAATGGTCATTTTCAATTTAGTCAAAGCATTAAGCTTAAGCTAAGTAGTTGGTTCTAAGTATGTATGGACTAGCTATAGACAAAAAAAAGGAGAAGAAACACTAACCTAAAACAAAATAAAAACATGTTATATAGAAGCTAACGTAGGCAACACGAAGTTTAGTTGCTCTAGGTGTGCTACATACAGCATCATGTTCAAATCATTTTCCAGTTTTTCAAAGCAGTTAACTTAACGGAAGGTAGCATAACAGAGCTGTTAAACTAACATAGTAGAAGGCAAGTCATATAACAGAGCAAGAGTATGTGTAATTTAACAGAAATGGGCTAACGCTAGCAGAAAAAAAGAATCTCTATGTTACAACTAATATTTACATTACACTAACAGAGGTAACTTGACACAGTAAACTCTGTTAACTTGACTTGGTTGATCATAAGCCCTGCTAATGTCTTAACAGCACTCACAAACATGAATGTTATGTTTCGTTTATGTTAACTAGCATTTTTGTTCCTTAACATTAGTATGTTAGTTAACAAACCGTATGATTAATCTGATGTAATCCCCCGAAAGAGTATTTTTTAAAGGTCATCTGCACGCAAACAGCATACAAAGCCGAAATTGCAATTCAGCAAGACTCACAAAAAGTTATCAGTGTGTATGCGCACACCAAACACACACACACACACCACACACACACACACTTGTTAGGTGCCACAAAAATTGCCTTGGGTTTTTGAGTTAACACTGTTCGTTACACTTTCCACCTCAAAGCGAGTTGCCTTTTAAAGCCAGCGCAGGCGGCGAACAATATCTAAAATGCATTTTTAAACACACTTGAATGAAGTTCAAGCTGCCTAATTACATTTTAGCCCCAAGGGCTGAAGTGCGCTCGGTTGGCCAAATCGTGAGCGTCTTGCATATGTTAAGGGCATCTTCTGCACAAGTCTTGCGCCTTGGGGCGCCGCTTTCACAGCCCTGTCTTGTTATTTCATTTCGAAATTTAAAAGTCAAAGAGCTTTTATAAAAAATTTAGCCATTACCATTTAGAACACAAAAGAATGTAGAGCAAGAGAAAGCGACAAAGATCTTAAATCGATTGAATTTCGACAGAGTTATTAGAGCTTGAAGCACTTTTCAGGGGAAAATACTATATTATAATACTTTATCATAAAATATCAATCATATATTGATTGTAACTAATATTCTGAGTATCTCCATTAAAAGTTTATTTTGGTATGCAAGCTAAAAATGCAAGCGAGGTAAAAAATGTTATGGTTTGATGCCTTAGTTTTTATAATGAAAGAAATTAAAGTGTCAAATTGATTATGAAGCCAAACATAGATCAAAGATCGTAAACCTCTTGCAATTATCTGCAATGTCAGCTAAGCAAGGATAGTGTAAAGGTTAGCATATTTACCTGATTATTGTTGGCTGTCACATCGACAGGTCGCGGTCGTCGGCGATGTATGCGTTTCCGAGCCGTCTGATAGATTTTCCAGTAGAGCGCCAAGATGACCAGCAGTGGCACATAGAAAGTGCAACAGGTGGCAAATACCTGAAAGAGAAATTCAGTTTATAAAACAATCTAAATAATGAAAGTTGAAATCGCACCTGGTAGGCCACATCCTGTGAGACCATGCACTTCTGCTGTTCGATACGCTGCAGATAGTCCGGATCCTTCCAGCCAAACTGTGGCGCCAATGAGACAATCACCGAGGCCGTCCACACGCAGAAGATCATCATGAAGACCCGATTGCTGGTGCGTGAATGGATGTAATCAATGTTGGTCACCGCCCAATAGCTATATAAATAGAGCAACAACAAAATACATATATTTTTTTTTATTAACAATTGCGCAACACTTGAGACATGGCGGCGTGTTTGTTTTTTCTATTCTTATTTACTTTATTTGAAACGCGCACAAAATGCAAATGAAATGCTGCATAAATCTAGGCAGGCACACACACACACACACATAGACCCACACACACAGGCACACATATGGAACCGCGTGAAAGTAAAGAAACGTGTTCGATATCCGAATTCCGTTCAACAGTTTTTTACAGCATTTTGTTACCATTTTTTGTGTGTCGGTGTGTATTTGTTTTCTTTTTTCTTCGTTTTTGGGTTTTGTGTGCCAAAACATGTTTTATGTATGTATGCAAACCGGTGTGTGTGTGTGTGTGTGTGTGTGTGCGTGTGCGGCAGCTAAGCGAGGCATTTTTCAAATTTCCATTTCTAAAGACGAGCCTAAAAGCAACACAACTTTGTAATGTTGTTTGCCGGCGCATAGAAAAACAAAATGGAATTCCTTTGCCAGATTTGATTGCTTGAGTTAAGAGAAGAATTAATTTCATTATAAATGGAGTGCAGCTCACAAGTACAGCAATGCCAGACTATATTTGAATTGGGCCTAATTGGTATTAACTCGAAAAGCTTTTTTTGAGATCTGAAATAATCAATGTGAGATAGGCAGAAATTTAATTTTAATAGTCTTAAGGAAATAGTTCAAGTAATATTAACTGCAATACCATCAATAATTCTGCTCCTTTCCAAGATCATAATCATATCTTGAACACTTTAAGAGCTGGATCCGTAGTACTCTTACTTTTCGCTTGTATTCAGTATTTTATATTGTACTCAAAAATATAACTAACTATTGAAATTGGGAATATTTTTATGCAAATATTATAATGAGAAGTTCACAAAGTTTAAAAAGTTATTTAAAATCTTTCTAATTCCTTAAAGAGCTAGAAATGTGTGTTTGATATTCAGAACCAAAGCTGAGTTGATTTAGCTTTAGCTGTTTATTTAACTTTAAGATAGTTTCTATTTTAAGCAAAGTTTTTGCCTGAGTTAGGGTATAAAATCGTTGCCGTTGCCAAAGAAAAACTATCTGCTTTAGTTTGCCCACTTGCTGTGAGTAGAGCGACATGCCTAAACGAGTTTTTAAACGTTACGTGTATGGTAACTGGCACACACACACACACGCGCGAGATTATATATACACGTAGATTGACACACAGTGTTGTGAAGCTGGCTTTAACTGTATTGGTACTTGCCGCTTGTTGCTGCTGGCAAAGCTTTAAGAATGCCAACTATTCAACTGTGTGGCATAGATAATCGCGCCCGGAGGCGGTAACTAGAACATGTAACTCTCATGTCGTTGTGCTGAAGCTGCAGCAGTAGCAGCAGCAGCAGCCATTAAGCAGCTTTTACCCAGTGTTGGGTAGTGTTTTTAGCCGGCACTGCTGTCAGTTCAAAGGTTGTTAACCACAACAACCTGCGGCTGTGCGTGTGCATGTGTGTGTGTGCCATGTGGCTGCCAAATTAATGCCGGCAAACCACACATTTCAAAATTTGACGGCAAGCGGTAGACAATTTCTTCGACAACCAACGCTGACCGCAGCGCTTAAAGTGGCAGCAGCTACAACAACAAGAGTCTGTTGTTGTTTATGTTTTAATTAAACACAATTTGCATATACAAATATTATGCCTTGCTGGGCCGCAGCGCAAACAAATGTGTTTGTAAGTTTAAATCAACAATTAATTGAGTTGACAAAGCACTCGAGACGCGCTGCTGATAGCTGCTATATCTATAGCTATATATCTATCTATGGCTGTGTAAATCAGCATTAACTGCTCTGCTCTGCCATGTGCAAACTTGGCTAATGGCCTCGGGTGTCATAGACCATAATTTAATTTGCATCCAATGGGGCACTTGCGCGCTAATGACAGCTGCATAAATATAAATATAATTATCGATATGTTGTGCATTTGTTTAAACGTAATTAAATGATACTCATTTAAAGCCTATCCAAGAGCCAGCCACTTCATTAGTTGATCAAATGCAATAGTCAAGAGGTACAAAAATTGTGCTGCTAAAAAAAAACCCAGTAGTTGACCACGAAAGTACTTAAATTGTATTTATACATATTTTGTTGGCAGCTGGGAATACCTCTAATCTGTTGTAATTAGTACATGAAATCAGCTTTAGCATTAAATATATATAATTTATAGTTGGCAATACCCCCAATCTTTTGTAATATCTACACTAGAAAAGATTGGCAGTGGCTTGAAGTCAGCTTTAGCATTATATGAGTTAAAGAAACACCTTTTAAATAATCATTTAGGCCTCACTTAGGGAATTTTAAATATAGTTTGACTTGGGAAAGAAATAGTTGAAGAGATTGCAATTGGTTTAAAGTAGCCCTTGGAATTCTATACATAGTTTTAACATTTGACCTATGGAAACCCCTTAAATTTTATAGATTGTACAAGAAGCTGTGAATGCCTTTATGTATATTTTAACATACAGAAATCGGCTTACAGTTGGCCTTGAAAATCTTCTTTAATTGAATACCTCTAGTTTTATAGATTTCAGAAGAAGCTGTGAATGCCTTTATGTATATTTTAACAGACAGAAACCAGTTGAAAGTAGGCCTTGAAAGTTTTTACGTTTGACTTATGAGTTAACTCAAAGTTTATAGATTTAGAAGATGCTGCGAGTGCCTTTCGAATTGCGTGAGACCGTCGTTAATTTCCTGCCGAAAGCCTATTTAAATTTCGTACATTAATATAGCCTTTCTCGTAGCCTCTTATTTTATTTAGATGGGACGACAGACAAGGTTTATACCTTCTGAGGTCACAGACAAGCTCCTCATTAATTTTGAGCCAACTTGCACCAGATTTCCCAACTGGCTTGCGTTGTCGTCAAAGAGTTCGAAGCTCTAATGTCAAACGACTTACACGTGTTCGCAGCTGCGGTCAGTTTGTTAGTTTGTTTATGAGAAATGATTGGGTATATGGAAGGCAATGTTAAGCATACGCCATGCATGCCGCATCGATAATAAATAATAATGAATGATGTTGTTAGTTGATGACTTTTGTCATCTGGACAGCTGCCATCACCTGCTGTGTCTGGGTCAGCCTGGAGTAGCAACGATAATGATGCGCTGAGCAGAGGGAGGGGAGGGGGGGAGGGGAGAGGGGAGGGCAGAAGACAACCCACCCTGCATCCATATCCCGCTGCCTGCTCTGATTTTCATTAGCATAATATAATCGACTTCAAGTTGACAATTTTTGATTGACTGCTTAAAATTAATGGAATTTTGTGATTTTCCTGTCAATTTTTTTCTTCTTATTTTTCTCAAGTTGCCAATTTTATTACAATTTTCTTTTTTGCTATATTTTTCTGGTGTAGAGTTTAATGTGGCCCGCAGTTGGAATGAAAAGAGGCATGCAAATTAATAGCGAAACCTAATAAAGTGCCTGTCATGCAATGTGCCTTTGCGCAATGTGATATCACTCATACGACGCGTTGTCGCATTTGAAAAAGTATCATAATTTGTTTTGCCATGTTTTGCTACACACACACATGCAAACACTTAGCGAGTATTTCGTTCATAGGCCAGCAATTCGATTTAATTCAATTGAAGTCAATCAATTTATCAAGTACGCACACTCAAACTGAGATCGTGTGATGAATTATAACAATTTATTGTGCGCCAAACAATTTAAATGCGATTTTTCCATTATGCCTCTCACTCTGTGTGTGTGCGTGTGTGATAAATGTGCGGCATTCGAGTGTAACACTTTTTAATGCATTTAAAAATTGCGCGCCTAGCACACAAAAAAGCCATTACTCTTGATCTCGCTTGATTACGAACGCATGTACCCCAATTCCCGCTAACACAAGCGCCACAATTTCGCCTAATTTACTGCAAAGCCAGGGTCCAAAGCTGCTTTGAGCTTGATATATGTATGTGTGTACAGATTTTATGTACATAAATCTAAAGTTCTTATATTTCTATCATGATTTGTCACTTTCGGCTATTTATTTTGTTTTGGCAACTTTGCTTCATAAATTCGAATGACTTGGCGAAATTGTGTTGAAATTGCATTGGCATAAAAAAAGGCGAAAACATAAATCAAATTAATTTAGTTGAACTTTTAAGCTGTTCATAATTAATTGAAATTTTATATTGTCGAGTGACGGTCAATATTTGTACAATAAATTTTTTTTGGTTTTTAATCCCACTGACAGCGGTTAACTGCATATTTGATGCCTGTCAACTGGTAAACACTTTTTGACTCTATTTTATGCAAAAGATAATAAAGGGTATATCGATTCTGGGATGCAATTTGTTATGCATTGAGTGCAGGCAGAGTTTATAGGAATATTTTTGACTGGAAGATAAAAAGCAAAAAGAAAAAAACGTTATATAGTTGAAAGTTAAATGTATGCAAGTAAAGGGTATTTAATCGTCGACACTTGAGGCTTAACTTTCCTATATGGCTTATCTCTGCCTTTTTGTATTTCAGGCTAATCGATTGCATTACGCGCTTATTGAAAATCGCTCAGCGGCCCGGGCGTATTGTTTTAATTTTCAATTTTGAGGTAAAATAAGAACAAATATGTTGTGCTTGTTACCTGCAGCTATCGGCAGCCAGTTTTCAGTTAACAATAACATTTCGTTTTATAAAAAAAAGAAGAAAATTTGTTAAAAATAAAAGCGCAGCTGAACAAAAGATTAAAATGGAAAACAAAACGTGGCATACAAAAATGCATGCCACACTAGGAAAATAACAATGAGCGGAGGCTGCAACAACAACAACAACAACAACAACGACAACAACAACAACGGCAATGACAACAACAAGCAGCTAGTGCACATGTAACTGTCGACGTGGGGCGTGGCACGGCTGAGGCTGTTTTTGTTTTGCTTGTTTTTGTTGTTGCGCCCTGCGGCAGCTGTGGCATGATTAAATTTTTGCAAATTACAGGCATTCCTCCTCTCC